TTAGTAGCAACAGATGAAGAAAAATAATCAGTTGTATGTAGGAATTAGACTGTACCTTACTAATTAAATCAAAGGAGAATAAAGAATGTTTTTCTCCTTAAATGAACATATTTTCTTCTTAAAATCACAAAGCCAGATTGGAGAAAATTTACTTATTGGGCAATGCAGAAGTTATTAATTAAAAAGAAAAAGAGTGCATGGAGTGGTTTTCCATAGGGCCTCACAATGAAATCAAGCAAAGAAGACAGAATTATGTACAAGACATTATTAATAGACTAGAAATGACTTGGTTAACATGCTGGACTAGTAGAAGACATAGGAGAGAAATAGTGCAGAGTGTCAGATACAGAACTAGAGATCACTCTCGTTAGATTGTATTGCTCAACAAAGGTTTTGGCTGGCCAGTACTTATTTCGCAGGCTATAATTCCTCGGATTAGAAAAACGGACTGTGTTGATCCATGAAACCACCAAGAGAGCTGCAGCCCTAATCTTCTTCTTTCATGTTCATGCTAGAGAGCAATGCTATCTCTTCTGGGAGAAGAGAAGGCCCTGTTGGTTTGAAATAGCTCTTGAGTCTTGACTTTCTCTACAAGTTAACTTAATAGCTTGGCTTTTGGCTAAGACCTTGACATAAGTAGAGGATGATATTTTGTATCTTTCTTCTGTACCAGGTCTAAGAATAAGAATGGAACACTCAACTCAAGAAAGTGAAAAGGCAACAACCATTCTGCATCCTCTTGAACAATACTAGCACAGTAAATAGTTTACCTGAGACTGAGAGAATTTAAGAAGTACAAGGGTACTATGAAAGAAGGTTGAGGGAAAACTGATGAGAAGAGCTATTGACTTTAAACTCAGATTCATAGTGAATTGATAATAGAAAAATTAAATATTAGTGAGAAAAGTACCAAATTATGCCTTAGGCATTTCTTTCTTTAAAAAGGGTTGTTTGAAAAGAATTAACTGCTTTCCAAGCTGATATGTTTGGGTTCAGCTGTTTTAATAAAGAGATTATTTTTATAATAAAAGAGAGGGAAATCTTGCTTAGCCATTTTAAACATGCCTGTGACTTAAGCCTTATTGCTTTAGTCCATGTGACTATGGCAAGCCACTGCCAATAACTCTTTGAAAGTGAAATCTGGAAAACTAAATACATAAAGTAAAACAAACCTTGAAAGTGATGTGTTTTACAGGTAGGGATAGGGTGCTGAAAGGCGGGATGGGCAAGAGAAGGGAAAGAAAGTACAAAACTTTCCGAGAATTGCTCAGTTGGTTCCATGACTTCTCTTTCACCCTGGCAATGATTCTTACATATACTTATTGTATCCAGAACATGTCCCTGAGGTCCAGTGAGAGCTCACCTACAGAGGACAATTGAATTATGTTGCCTCAATTCCTTTTACTTGCAATAACAGTTTTTGGAAGAATTTTGGACAATGAACAATAAAAAATCAAAGAAACTCCTTCTTAGTCCTCAGTTACCTAAACACGACAACTAACCAGACTGTTTTCCTCCTCCCCTGCACCCTAGTCCCTGTGCATTCCAGCCCATTGAGGTCACAGGAGTGGGATTCAGATGTATGTTTGCTGATATTGTTTTCCTGGCACTATACTCATAGTAACTGAATTATAAATTACACTTATTAAGTACTTATTAGAGGTTCAAACAAAATAGGAAAGGAAGTGAAATGCCTCCTACTTTTTTGTGAAAACAGAGGCCTTCTTATCTTATGTAAGTTGAGCCTGCTATTCATGGATCACTAAAGTTGGACTTCATTCTCTTTGCTTTCTTAGGGTCCACATCCATAGCAGCTTGTAGTCAAATAGCCCTTTTGGTGATAGCTGGGTAATGGCAAAGCTTATGAGCAAAGTTACTTTCCAGGAGCTCCCTTATGCTGAAACTAGGCTTAAATATCTCTGGAGATAGGTCATTCTTGGGAGTTATAATCATTCACTATGTCTTGCCCAGTCAGAACAATAATTCAACTGGAGTGAGCTTTTCCATTGTTTCACTGATATCCGAGTCATATACTGAAGCCCCTTAAGCCTGGGAAGAGGAGAAAAATAAAACAGTAAGCATGTCTCCATCCTACCCCATCCATAAGATTTCAGTATGGATGATTTCACCCCCACCATCACCACCACTCTATGTATACTTTGTGAATTGTTAAACATTTCCTAGACCATTGAAAAAATAAACATTACATTTGCCAGATTTGAATAATTAGGTAATGCTATTTGTAAGGGTTATTTACAAATTGAACAAAAAAGAAGCATGGTAATATACAAATGTACTAATGAGGTGTATCCTAAGCATTTGTAAGTTAATGATTTGAGACTTAGAATAACTTTCTCCATAGAAACTGTATTATATATGTGGTGGCCAAATTTCATTTTACTTTTTTCATTTATCATTATTATTATTATTAACTTTAGTTCATACAAAGGTGCTGCCATTTAACAAAGCAGTTTATGAATACAAATCCACAAAGGCTAATTTAACCCACATGGAGGAATAGAGTTACATTAGAGCTCTGGTGAGGATCCTGAATCATGAGAGCAGAAAAAATAGTATGCTATTTCCCCATTCTTAAAGTCCAGAGGACAGGCTGGAAACAGGTGAAATATAAGCTGACTTTTCTACCTTTATACTATTTTTCACCTTTCTCCCATTCCCCAGGGATACATTGCTCTTCCATTCTCCTAAGCCTGCCACTGTGACCCTGAATCCTTCAAAACTGCCAGATTCCTCATTTCTCTCTGTCCCAGTCAAGATGAAATTGTTAGGTCCTCTCAAACAGCCACTTCAGCTCACATCCATGGGGTATGGGCTATTAACTGCTTCTTACTTCCAAAAAGCATGTTTATGATTAAAAGAAGAGACTTTTTCTGCCTCAAATAAGGTAAAAATTAGGCAAAGCAAAAGGTGATGAAGTAAAAAGTGGGTTTGAGAAGTTGTAAATATCTGGGGACTCAAGATGACAAGGCAGCCCCTGTGATCAGTTCCCCAAGTCTGTATAATTTTCCCAATTTTCCCAGGCATCTTTTCTCCCTTCATGTCTGACCACTAAAAGCTCTCCAAAGGTTTTAGTTTTCTCCAAAACTGCCATGATGGTGGCAGCACTTCAGAGACATTCATATATATTATATTATGTGTCTTTCAGAAGTTGGTTTTATTCCATTAAGAGTCAATCTATAATTCACAGAAATTTTAGAAATATTCCAAAGTAGGTGGTCTTGCTGGGCAAAACTAATATAGGACATTGAATGAGAGATAAATGAGGTGTCAGAGTGGTTGGGTTTAAATCAAGCTTTCTGAAATTTATCTAGGATACACTTCTTGGAGATGATTGTGATTTTCACAGGCCTCCATGGCCATTGTGGTCAATTAACATGCTAAGTAAAACACAAATACAAATGACACCTGGATCAAAAGGGGAATCTCTTCTTGAGTCACTTGCTTCAAGGTTTCATATATCCACAATCCACAAAAGCTGTGTCTCTCAAAGGGTACAGAGGAGTACATTTGTAAATGGCCTAAACGACATCCATTTGCATGCGAAAGGAGCATCACTGAGTATACAGCCAATGGCAGTGTGTGAGCTGCAGTAAATTAAGCTGCAAAGTTCCACACATGCTTAGATATGGATGTGTTCTTATATGGTACCTCCAATGTCTGCATCAATTTGTCAAAGAAAATCTTTCAAGAACTTCTAAAACTTTTTCAGGGCAGGAGGAGGAGGAAAGAAAGATGAAGGGGAGGGAGAGAAGAGAGAGGGAGAGAAGGAGAGAGGGGTAGACAGAGGCTGTGAGTGATAGTGTCCTTGTGCTCCCTTACCCATAAGAAAGAATGTTTCTAGAAATTGGATGATGGTGTGTCCCAGCTGCCTATCTGTGTCTGTTGGTCAGCAGGAAAGAACAAAGTAGAGCCCGAGGTGGCAGTGAATCCCAGGGTGGTACAGGAGACTGCAGAGGAGCTGTTTGCTCAGTACAGAATCCTTTTTGAAGCAGAAATGTGCAACTAGTACATAATACCTATGATTGTTGCAGTAATGAAGGTTTGGTGGGGTTTTCTTAGGAGAGAAACAGTCACAGAAGTTAACAAACTCCACAGAGCCTGGTGAGAGAATAGGAACTGTGTGAGTTCTTTGGTAATTACTGCTAGGATTGTGATTATTCTGGAGCACGGTAGAGAGCAAGGGAGCAGGAATGGATGGAAATGTCCTAATGTTTACCTTAAAATCTTGTAATTTCTAAAGATACATGTAGAGAGAAATGGGATATACTGTCAAAGTGGCCATGGGTGAGAGCGTAGAAACCAAGAAGAGAAGAGATATTGAAAGGAACACAAGAAAGCTATGGATTCCTTAGAGATAAACTTGTGATGGTAATTAGCTTGCTGTTGATGCTTCACAGTTATCCAGTCATAGAAGAGAAGGTAGCATGAGGATCCTGATTACAAGCCAGATAGTTTGAGTAGCCATATTTTGATTGACAATGCAAACCTTGCAAGAGATCAAAAAATGTCTCCAGAGGAAATGACATGAGCACCCCTTTCAGTATGGTATTGCCAGTAGATCCCAGAAAAAAAGACACAGTTGCAATGTAGCTGTGTTTCCTAGATAGACCTAAGTCTCTAGAGACCTGAGGTGGCTCACCATGGAGCCCTGGTCTTCAACAATAAAAGAGGCAGGTGCACCTGCCTGATAAGTGGATAACAGGGCCAGACTTGTTAGCATTTAAATGTGTTATCAGTACAAAAGGGAAGGGTTTTTCTCTCTCTCTCTCTCTCTCAGGCTAGGATAGCCAACTTTGCTTAGTGTAGCTCAGTCTACAACAGCCCTCCCACAGCAAAGGTTTTGCCCAACTGAGTGGAGTTTGGAAGTTCACCAGCTCCATCCCACTCTGCCAAAAGAATGAAGGCCATGACTGGTTCACATGCCAAAGGGAGCCTCAGTTCTGAAAATCTGGCAAGGCCTTATGCTGTTTTCCTGCTGGCCATTACCTTATGGCTTATTTCTCACCAACTGCCTTTCTGCTTTTCTTCTTTGGAAAGCTGCAATCTCCGTTGGTTGTAGGCCATGGCCCACTTGCCTGCAAGGCAGAAAAACACCAAAAAAGATAGTGAACACAGTATAGCAGAGCAGAGCATATGAAGATTCATATACACATGAGCTCTACTCACCCATCTTTGCCCACTGGTGGTGGTACAGGGAGTGGTTTTGTGAAGCCTTTTTTTCCAACTAGCCAGAAGGTTTCCTCTGTGCCTTTGCCCTTATTATAGAAAACACGAAAAATATTAACCACAGTGTAACCAATTTTTCCAAAGAAGTTCTTCTCATTAGTAGGTACAAGCATTCAAACTCACAATTTACCTCTACTTTCCCCTTTTCACCATTCTCTGGAGTTTTCTTTTTTGTAGGCCTCCCTTACCCTATGTACCTGAGGTTCAGGCAAGCTCCATAGAATGCCAGAGCAGCCAGATGAAGCTGTCACTCAGACGTTTTGTCTACCCATCACCACATAAGTCCATCTTTCGAAATATGTGACTATTTGTTATAATAGCAACCAAACATCTGGATGCTCAATTTAAGTGTCATTTTTGCCCTCATCATTGGCATTAAATGTATCATTGCCTGTTCCATCCAGAGAATACAAATTCAAAGTCTATTTCTCCATGTATACCCTGCCATCCAATATCTCTCACAAAATCCAAAAATGGAATAGGAAGTGGAAATGAAAACAGGTTCTACAACTTGTTTTGAAGCCCAGAGCATCCTGGTTGCTTTGAGAGGTCTACATTCTGCATTAATCCTTTCTCCTGCCAAATGATTCTTATAGGTAGGGCAAGATGCCAAGGAAGCCTCTATCTTTAAGTATTGTTGGTCTGCACACTAAAGCTACCAGCACAACTATGTTTATTGCAGCATTATTTACCATAGCTAAGGTATGGAACCAACCCAGATGCCCCTCAGTAGATGATTGGATCAAGAAAATGTAATATATATATATATATATATATGAATTCTATGCCTCCATTAGAAAGAATGACATTGCCCCATTTGTTAGGAAATGGAAAGACTTGGAAAAAATTATTTTAAGTGAAGTAAGCCAGGCCCAAAGAAACATAGGTCCCATGGTTTCCCTTATTTGCAATATCTAGTATATGTATGGGTCAAGTGGAAAAGGTCAGATAATGTGATGTTAGGAAAATGAACCCTTAGATATGTATTTTAATGTTTTTTTCTTTCATGCATTTGTTTCTAATGCATTTATAAGATTATCTCTTTGTTGCTTTGTATGTCCCCCACACATAGTATAACCCCTGCTTTCACTATATTTGATGTCAGTATAACTTGTGGAGGAGATGGGGAAAAACAAGTCGTTTAAGGATACAGGGGGACCTGTTGCAACAATGAGAAGTACAAGTCGTCATGTCGAAAACGAGCTTTACAACACTGGGGGGGGAGGATTAGGTGGGGGGGGAGGCTGGGAAGGGATGTGAAGGGTAAACAAAGGAGGAGGCTGCAATGCTTGATAAGAAATGTACGCCCTATCCTGCCCATGTAATTGTAACCCCTCTGTATAGATGTTCACAAAAAAAAAAAATAAAATAAAATAAAAAAAGAATTGTTGGTCTGGGAAGAGGCAGGGAATGTAAACCCAAGCGAGTCACCCTAGGGCCATCACTCATGTCTAAAAAGGAGCCAACTTATCTGCCTCTCTTGTGCCCTCCCCTCTTCTTAGCAAACTTTCCTTTTCATGTATTTCTCTCTCTTTTCAGTTCTTTTCTGACTATTCTCTCACTTCCTCTAATCCAGAAAACACCAGCTTTACTAAAACCAAGAAAAGTAATAGAATGTATTTCTGGCTCATTAATCTGAAATATTGTCTCACAGTAAGTAGCTCTCATTTGGAACAGTTCTAAATTGTTTAACTTAGAAATGCCAATTTGATTTGTTCATTTTAAATATCAAATCACATATTCATTCCTTAATAGTAATGGCATTAGCCACGATAATAACTGGCACATTTAAGTGGAGAATCTCAAAGCATTTTGCAAATATTTGTTCAAGGCTCTGAACATGCCCCTCCATAAGACAAGTAGGAAATGAACTTGCCTGTAGTCCAACTTCTATTAACCAGCAACCAACTAATTTTAGAGTTCAAACAATGGGACTATTTGGAGCTACTCTGTTTTTATACAAATAATAACTTGAGGATACAATCCATGATGACCCCTTCATTTATTTCACCCTTCCTATAATAGAGCCAAAATATAGCTCTGGCTCTGTCCCCTGAACAGTTTGCAATATAGAGAAAAATGACTAACAGGATATCTCTTGGATTTTAAGCACATTAAGCACAGTTACTCTGCCTCCAGAGCTCTTTCTTTTTCTCACAGCACGTACACACAGTTGCTCAGTAAATCATCAGATTGTTCCACTGAGTGGAAGTTTCAACCCTTGAGAACTTGGAATACTTAAGGCTTCCTGAAGCTCACTTTGGTAAGACATACTGATAAAATTCAAACTTGACTCCATCCCCCAGCCATAATTAACTGTCTTGTTATCTAAGGCGGGTAGGGCAGCATGCCGATTTCCAAGGGAGCTTTGTAGAGTCAGGATTATCCAGAGATAGGAGTAGGTCCTAGGACACACTGGGATGCCAAAACTAATGGTTACAAAAGAGGATGGGAGTGTCACAGGCTCAGGCAAGCTTCCAAATCAAAGAGTATGAAGGGAAGCTCCAGGGGCTTTCTGAGGTTTTGGATCTCATCCAAGAAAATTCTTAGAATCCTAGCTCTCTGTTTACCCACTCCACTTCCACAATTCTGTTGAAGACATGGACAGAGGGGAAACATGAAAAGCAACCCATAAAAGCTTAATGAAAATGTTTTGATCAAGTATCTGTCCCAGGGTAGTCCAAGAAATTCCCCCAAATAATAGCACCTTGCTTTGGCATTGCACTTTAAGACACTTTGGCATCTCTTATTTTATTTAATCCTCAAGCAATCCTGGAGGGCAGTTTTACTATTAATCTCATCATAGTAATTAATCTGCAAATGGTGACACTGAAGTTCATGGAGATGACCTGACGTCAATAGCAGGCAAAGCTGAGACTTGAACCAGTTTGAAACTGATAGCTTCTTCAACACATTGAATCAAGGACCAGGTCTCAGGCAGAAACACAACTCTTGGGAATTTTAAATGTTGTAAAATTAATAAGCTGTCCTGATAATTGCAGGTCTAAAGAGTCCTCTGTGTAGGCAAACAAGAGCACACAAAGAACCGGATTTGTCCAATGTCATGCACTGAGTCATTGATGAGAACAGAGATCAGAGCTTGTGGCCTTCATGGATCTCACCAATATAACTTATTTCCCAGCTCAGTCTTTAATGTGTGTGTGTATGTATCTGTGTGCATGTGCACACACACGCACACATGCGCAAGTGCATGCATGCATGCACATTCACTCATGTTAGGAGTTTAGAGAAGGGGTACAAGAAAAAATTTCAAGAAGTACTAAGGCTTATGGATCTAAGAAACAAAAACCATTAAAGCTGAGAATTCAGAGACAAAGTGAGAAAGTATCCACCAAGCCACAACATAAAGTGGCTTTTAAAAGTTGTATAAGAAGCAACCCAAAAATTCATATGAAACAATAAAAGACCCCGAATAGCAAAAACAAAACAGTTTCGTACTGGCACAATAACAGACTTGAGGACCAATGGAATAGAACTGAAGACCCAGAAATGAACCTGCACACCTATAGCCACCTAATCTTCGATAAGGGAGCTAAAAAATAAAATGGAAGACAATCTCTTCAGTAAATGGTGCTGGCAAAATTGGTTATTCATCTATAGAAAACTAAAGCTAGATCCTTATATATTACCCTGCACCAGAATCAACCCCAAATGGATCAAAGACCTCAAAAGTAAAAGCAGACACCCTGAAAAACATTACAGAAAGGAATAAAAGAAATTCTAGGTCTCCTTGGTCAATATGGTGACCTCCCAGGAGTGGGGATCACCAGGTTGCCTAAGGAGGGGTGAAGTGGCCCAGGTCAAAAAGACTACACATAGAGCTTCCCTATGACCCAGCAATCCCACTTTTGGGCATTTACCCAAACAATCACAAACAAGACCATACTAAAGCTACCAGCACAACAATGTTTATCTCAGCATTATTCTTCATAGCTAAGATATGGAACCAACCCTCAGTAGATGAATGGATCAAGAAAATGTGACATATACATATATACAATGGAATTCTATATCTCCATCAGACAGAATGACACCACCTCATTTGTTAGGAAATGGAAAGACATGCAAAAAATTATACTAAGTGAAGTAAGCCAGGCCCAAAGAAACATAGGTCCCATGGTTTCCCTTAATTGCAATAAATAGTGTATGTCTAGGACAAGCAGAAAGTTGAAAAGCTATGTATATATGACCATACAAGAAGATGGTAAGCGAAATGAACCCCAAGATAGGGTCACAAGAGGTTTTGTTTTTAATGTACTTATACTATGATATTTTTGTTTCTTTTGTATGTTCTACCTCCATTGTATAACCCCTGTTTTCACTGTATTTGAGTCTGGTGCCCTGTATCTTGTTTATACATTATTCTAATTTGGGGAGGGGAAGAGAAATAACAAAATGCTGAAATAAGGATACGGGTTGATTCATTGTAGCAATGAGATATGCAAGACACTATGTTGAAAACGAACTTTATAGCTTTGGGAGTGGGGGAAGGAATTGGGGAGGTGGGGAGGGAAGGGATGGTAGGGGAAAAACAAAGGTAGGAAATGTACTCATCACCTCACTAATGTAACTGTAACCCAGTATCTTTACAATAATTATATATTAATATATTAAAAATTGTGTGAGAAAGTCTTTCCAGAATGCAAATTACATTTAAAATCACAAAATTTTAAATACATAAATTTATTTAAAAATTACATTTTCCCTAAATATATATATACATATCTATCTATATATCTATATATCTATATCTATCTATCTATCTATCTATCTATATATATATATATATATATGATGAGCCTAGATATATAAAAAATCCCAGGAATAAGCACCAAATTTGGGAGGAAGACAAGATTAAAACAGAACTAGCCCATCAGGATAGAAATTTTTTAAAAAACTTTAGACATTGATAATTTGTTGCCAAGAAGGTGTTAGAGTAGACACTGGGACAGCTCTTCAGGTAGACTGAGCTTTTCTTCTTCTTCCTCTCTTTGGAGGTCATGGGACTTGAACTCTGGGCCTGAGTGCTGTCCCTGAGCTCTTCAGCTCAAGGCTAGCACTCTATCACTTGAGCCAGGGCACCACTTCCATTTTTCTGGTGGTTTATTGAAAATTAGAGTCTCATGGACTTTCCTGCCTGGGCTGGCTTTGAACCATGATCCTCAGATCTCAGCCTCCTTAGTAGCTATGATTACAGGTGTGAGCCACTGGTTCTACAGAGCTTCTCTTCAACTGGTTTCTTCCTCAGACTACTTCAGCATCCTCATTTGGTCTCTTTCTTTGTAGTATCAAGCTATCCAATTACTATAGGTATTCATATAATAATTATGCTCTTTTCTCTCTGCTAATCTAATTCACAACTTGGATTCCACTAAGGGAAACAGTGAAGGAAATGAGGTAGAAGGTTGAGCCCAAGAGAAAGGACTTTAGTGGAGGAATTCCAAGCATCAGCAAGCTGGAAGGAAAAAATATATACTTTTTCTGCCCTGTGTACTGGGTACTTCTTGTTTCCAGCAATAGAGAGTAGATGAAGGACACCAATATTGAAAGAGACTTTCTAAACTGTACAGGTGATGTGGTCTATTCAAGAATATATTGAATGCTCCCCAACCCCAGATTAGAAACCCTAGCCCCTGTCCCCTACTACAAAATATTCTATTTCTGCTATGATTGGGGAGGTGGAGAGTATAGAAACAAAAAGGATCTCCTCTCCTCTCTTTTCTTTGGTGTGTGTGTGTGTGTGTGTGAGTGTGTGTGTGTGTGTGTGCGTGCGCATGCATGTGTGCACGCACACATGCATGTGCTAGTACTAGGGCTTGAAGTTTTCCTCACACTCTCACTTGGCATTTACACTAATGGATGGTGCTCTACCACTTGAGCCAGAGCTCTAACTCTGGCATTTTGCTATTTAATTCTAAATAAGACGGTCTTAGCTTTGTCTGTCCAGGTTGGCATCAAACAATGACGCTCAGATCTCAGCCTCTTGAGGTCTACAGGAATGAGTCACCAGCACACAGCTTCTCCCTCCTTTTCCTTGGATCTTTCTTCTTATCCTTCTTCTTATTGCTTGTCCTTTTCTCTAGATACTCCTCCACTTCTCTCTCAATATCTCCCTCTTAATCTTTTTTTTTCCATGAGGCTCTTGTCATTCCAATAAAGGCTATTTCTGGGCTGGGTATGGGGGTACATGACTGTTAGCTACACAGATGGCAGAGATTTAAGACTACCTCAGTAAAATTAGCGAGACAACATATCAAAAAAAGAAACCAGGTAAGGTGGCACATTCCTGTAATCCCACCTATGTGAGAGGTGGATGTGAAGATTGCAATTTGTATCTTCCCAGACAAAAGAGTGAGACTCTATACAAATAATTGAAACAAAAGGACTAGGAGCATGGCTTAAATGACAGACCTTGTATTCAATCCCAAGGAGTGGCAATAAATGAAAAAAAAAGGAAAAGGAAAAAAAGAGTTTTTCCTCCAACATGCTGTAGCATATTCCCAAATTCCCTGGGGTGGAACAAACCATGAAGCTGCAAAGGGCCCATTTGAAGACTTGTTTTTGTACTTGAAATCCCAAAGATGTAAGTGCTCCTGTGTAGAATTTGTGGGGCAATAAAAATCAGTGGGGGTGGTGCGCATTTTTTTCTTTTTTTCAGTTTCATAAAATTGTACCTTTTTAGATCTTCAGCTTTTAAATGAAATTTCTGTGCCCAGCAATACAGAGGAAAGTGCTTCAGGGAACCAAGCTGCCTTTGTGCTCTGCTGGGAAATGACAGAATGTACAGAGGGATCACAAAAGCCATGGGCAATTTGATTTACTGCCCAAGTAAGATCCCTGCCCCCATGGTCTCATTGTGGGAGTGCTCTCCAGAGGTGGCAATGAGCCTCTGCCCCTTTGTGAGTGACTCATCCCACCCGCTGGAAGATTTAAAAAATCTATTGGAAAAGATGAACACAAGTCAAACAAGGAAGTGATCAACTAGAATCATACTTTCTGAAATCTAGTTACATATACATTTACCTCTACCAAGGGATGATAGGTCACTGACAGAAACAAACCATACATTAATCAGTGCCCTGCTTTTGCTTTGCCCAATGATAATCACTAAAAGAACTGTCTTCATACTGCATTTTAGTATGGAATCAAGTCAGGCTTCCTGAGTTTAGCCTGATTCTGCTATCTGACTAGATGACTCTGCTCAATTTGTTTCACCTATGTGGGCCTTGATTCTTCATATAAAATGAGTAATTTAGATAATCAGATCCCTGAGATCTCTTACAATTATCCTTAGTCATGGTCCTAGGATCATGCAGAAGAAAGGGATTCCAGTGGAAACGGTAGGAAGGAAAACCATCCCAGTCTTGAATCCCAAGTCAAATGATAGTCCCAAAAGAGAGAAAAGATTACTACAAGATAATAGCCTCTGACTCTGACTTTCTCTCATAAACTCTGACTTTTTCTTTCATAGATTCTGACTTCTTCCTTATAACATGGTGAGCCAATGGTATGGATGAAAACTCAGAAAGGGTGGCCTACTGAGCAGGAAATAGAAAACCCAAACTCCTCAGTTCTGTAGCTTATTGGACAAAGTTTAAAACTGCCAAAGAGCAAATAAAATGGGAGTTAGTAAATGTAAACAAATATAGCTCATTAGAAAGGCAAATACTGAGCAGTCTTTTAGGAAAGAAAAATACACTTAATAGTCTAAAAGAAAAGTAGAAAGGAGTCTCAATGAACCTACCTACTTAAGCCATATTTCAAAGAGAAGAAACTGATGGCAGAAGGGAAATACCTTTTGGGAACCTCAAATGAAGCTGGAAATTCTGCCTAAATTATAGCTCTGAGTCTCAAGCTCCCAGGTAAGTTCTTTCAGCAGACCATGACCTCTTGAAAAGCAGGTATGTCCAAATGGTTTGTTCCCAAAACAAGTACTTTATACCTTAAGCTCTGTTCTTCCTCGAAGCTCTACTTCGTAGCCCTCACTCAAAGTTCGAAGAATTGTAACCGTGCTGAGACTGACATGAATTCGGTATGCTGTAAATAAAAGAGAGCCATGAGTTTAGCTCCTTTCTCATTAAGAAAATCAATGAGAAACTGCCAATACAATAAATGGCCCCACTTTAAAGTGTGCCAAACCCTAAGCAAAGTCCTGGGTGAAAGCTTTAGTTAAGGGTTCACAGGAGGAAGGGGGAGTGATGGCCTTCTCACCAGGCCCAGACAAGGTGTTAGCTATAGCACCTATCAGCCTCCTAGATGGTAGGTTAGATGAAATGCTGGGCAATAGGAAGGTGTTAATTTAACTTGAAGGCTGAGAAGGAGAAATCAGCAGCCACTATTGTGTTCGCAGCTGAAATGTGACCTCCTCTGAGGGAAATTTAGCACCAGCAGCTTCCCTCACAGGCTTCTGCTAGGGCTAAAATCATTTTATAAAACTAAAAGTTTTGTAAAAACGTACTTAAAAGACAAAAAGCCATACAATTCATTTCCCACATGAATCCTTACAACTTATAAAAAAAATCAATGAGAAACAGTCTAACACCACTGTCAAAAACTTTTGAAAGGGACTGGGAAGGTGGCTCAGTGGTAGAGTGCTTGCCTTGCATGCATGAGGCCCTGGGTTCGATTCCCCAGCACCACATAAGCAAAAATAAAATGAGCCGGAAGTGGCGCTGTGGCTCAAGTAGTAGAGCGCTAGCCTTGAGCTGAAGAGCTGAGGGACAGCGCCCAGGCCCAGAGTTGAGGCCCTACGACGGGACCCAAAAAAAAAAAAACCCATTTGAAAGACTGACATTCAAGCTGTTCTTTAAATGGGTGCTTTTAGCTTTAAAACCTACAGAATGTACTGTTTTCCTATCAACAATCCCAATCTGCAATTAAGAGCCCTACGAAGAAGCCCTACTTCCTTAAAAATTATTTAGGACTTAAGTGTGTTCTGTGTGTATGTGTGTATATGTATGTGTGCATGGTGTGTGTGTGTGTGTGTGTGTGTGTGTGTGTGTGTGTGTGAGTGAGTGAGTGAGTGAGTGCTGGGCCTCAAACTAAGGGCCTGGGTGCTGTCCCTTAGCTTTTTGGCCCAAGGCTGATGTTCTACTACTTGAGACATACTTCCCCTTTAGGCTATTTGCAGGTTAATTGAAGATAAGGGTCTCACAGATTTTCCTGCTCAGGCTTCAAACCCTGATTCTCAGATCTCATGCTCCTGAGTAGTTAAGATTACAGGTGTGAGCCATTGGGACTTACTACTTCTTTAATAAAGAACAATCCCTTGTTAAATTCAACATTCCTGACAACGGTCATTACGAAATGACACCTTGTTAAAAATTGTACCTAAAATGAAAGTCCAAGACTTGCTCTCATGCTTGAGAAAGTCATTCTTTTAAAAGCTGAATGCAATGTGAGTAGGAAGGCATAGTAGAGTTCCTTTTCTTTTTTCCATGTTGATCCTGGGGCTTGAATTCAGGATCTGTATGCAATCCTTGGGCTTTTTTTTTTTCACATGGCTAGTGCTCTACCACTTGACCCATAGCTTCTGGCTTTTTTCTAGTTAATTTGAAGTAAGATTATCATGGACTTTTCTGTTCTTGCTGGCTTCAAATTGCAATCCTCAGATCTCAACTTCCTGAAGGTAGGCTTATAGGCATACACCATCAGCACTCAGCATAGTTTCCTTTTCTTAATAACTCAGTACTCATATCTGTGCCCTCCTCACCCAGAGTCACTCAAAGCCTCTGTTATATTCATAATAGACACAACTCTGGCCAGTATACTCATTGCTAGGCTAATATTTGTCAGCCCATTAGCATCTGGTGTTCAGAGAGCCTTTCAGTAGGGGGATCCTAATTGTGGGAAACACAAAAGACAACTGATTCTAACCACTGCTCAGCTCTGTGGTAAGGCAGCTCCAGGACTAGATCACAGAATCTCAAATGATTCATCTGTGCACAAAGGAGACACTGATGAAATTGATTTGCTGTTAATAGACTTGTTACATGTCCTGATTTCATATATCCAATACAAGGGGAGAAACAACTGCCTTAGAAGATATTTAGTCTGGTATATCCCTCAGTGCAATAGTTGATTTACAGTCATTAACTTTTATGAAAGCAGTCTAATCAGCTCCTGGAGTGCAAAGATCATGTGGATGTTCTTCTTTTTATTGATCAGTAGACAAGGTGCTGCCTAAATCTCAAAAGTCAATTTCTACTTTCAACTCTGTACCTCCAATGGGAAATGTATGTGGAGAATTGCCTGGTGCAGCCCAGAATAGGGCTTCAGCCTTCTACAAACCCACATCAGTCCTCAGCACTGTGTCAAATCTTCATTGTGGTTCCATGATCAATTTCTCTTCATCTTGGGTTGCACTTCAAGAGCAACATCATATGCAAAGACATATTCACACAGCAGTTCCTGGATGACTACCTCCATGGCCTCTGCCATATCTGTAGAGTTTAAAAGACTTTCCCAGATGTCAGAAAATTTATTCTGACAACAGTTTTTAAGCTCCATGCTGCCTCCTTAATCATGGCTGCACAGGCTAGATTGACTAAGACTGGACCCATTGTGTAAGGCTGTTTCTGCACCTGAGTGATGGGGAATGGGGTCAAATAGGGCACCACCCACTGTGATATAGGCCACCATATCATCAACTAGTTTGAATATATTGCTGAAGTTAGGGAAGAGTTTGTGTTACCTAGTAGTTGCTAAGCCAGAGCAAAGAAGACAAATGCCTGCCTGCCTTCTTTCCTTCCTTCCTTTCTTCTTTCTTTCTTTCCTTCCTTCCTTCCTTCCATCCTTCTTTTTCCTTCTTTCCTTCCTTCTTTCTTCTCTGTCTCTATTTCTGTCTCTGTCTCTCTGGTAAAAGTCCATGATATAAGTAAAAAGCACATTTGATTTTTGACAGTATTTCAGTACTGGCAGTAAATAACCAGGAAAGGTTGATTGAACTTCTTGCCAGCAGCAGACAAATTGCATAATATTTGTTTTATTCTCAAAGAAGAGAAGAATCAGGATCTTTAATATTATGCTTGTTTTGATAGCAGCTAAGAGTTTTACATACAAGCAAGATGGAATTAATTATTTTAGAATTCCAAGCTCCTTAGATTGAAGGATTACTGCTTGCTAAATTCTAGGAGGCTATTTGATGAAGCCAGAACTCCTGGGGTCCTAACTAAGAGGACTAAAGCAGCAAACATCAGCCAGCTGGGAGGAAGCTGGCTCATGTGTGTCTTCACAAACTGGTTGAAAAACTGAATATATCAGTCTCTTACCTAGTTCTTTTCTCCCAATAACTCTCCTACACCCACCAGGCTGTCCAATTTTTTTCTTTTACTCAAAAGACTTTCTAAGTTGTTTTGATCACAGTGCCTGGCTGTTTCAGTGTCATCTGGCTACAGCTTTATTTCTATATAAAAGATACATACATATTCAGTCCAACATCACCCCCTACTGGTTTGCTGTTAGAGATCAAGAAAATGTGTGATAAATCTTAATCTTTTCAAATTATCTTTTATTTTTCTAGAAAACATTAAAAATACAAAGTATCCTGCTCTCTTTCCCTCTGTTGAAAAAGAACCACTTTCCTAATAGCAGGGTGATGCCTTCCCATCCATCCTCGAGGTACTCACGTAAGCCTGTTGACTCCATCCGAGAAGCTGTATTTACAGTGTCTCCAAACAAGCAGTATCTAGGCATGGTGAGGCCCACCACTCCAGCAACAACAGGCCCTATAGAGTAGCAGAAGACAGGGATTATAGTCAACAAGAATACACTCAATGTTAATAGAGGAGCACTGCCAGGGATAGGAATGTAGCTTGATCATATAGCTCTGGAAACCTTATGATATAACTAAAGAAAGACATACAATTGAATAATGAACATTTTGTCTATAACAAAGCAAGTTTATATTTATATTTAATACTTTACTATCTTTCTGATTTACAGTTCTATTTCAAATAACTGTCATATCCAACATGCTTATATCTGTCAACAAAGACAAGCCTCAAAAATAAACCAGAAAAACCTGGGGAGAGATTCAGGATCCAAACATGTTTGTTGCAAAGAAAAAAATGTAACTCTTGTGCCCTAAGGTTAGAAGGAAGAATTTCATAGGTCTATTTGTCTCCCACATTGTGTCTATCAATAGAATTATTGCAGAGAGAAAACTCTGAAAACAAATAGAGATGACTTTCAATTATCTGTAAGGGGCATGGAATATCAGTACAACCAGATCATTCAAAGAGTATTTTCTATCTGTTCTTGCAGTGATCTTTGTTCTGAACATGATATTCAGGATATTTTTCAAATTTCAACAGACATACCCAAAAGTAAGCTCACCGGTATCTATAAAGGTCTCTGCCTTCATCTTTGCTGTTTCTAGGTTTTAATTTTTTAACATTAGTTTTTGGTTATGGACATTTCTTCAGTTAAAGTAATTGTTTTGCTTCAAAAATTAATTCTAGCTGGATGCTGGTGGCTCGTGCATGTAATCCTAGCTACACAGAAGGCTGAGATTTGAGAAGTGCGGTTCAAAACCAGCCCGGGCAGGTAATTCCCTGTGAGACTCTTATCTCCAATTAACCACCAGAAAACTGGAAGTGGCTCTGTGGCTCAAGTGGTAGAGTGCTTGCCTTGAGCTGAAAAGCTGAGAGACAGTGCCCAGGCCCAGAGTTTAATTCCCATGACTGATAAAAAGAATTAGTTCATCTGAGAATAAAAATAAATAACTACAAACATGTTTTTCTTTTCAACTCATTTTTTGTTTATTCAGAATCATACTTTGAGCACTGAAGTAGGCACAAAAAGAGAGGGGCTAAAAAGGAAATTTAATATATGGCCTAAATTCTCCAGGAATTTACACTATAATTGAGAATAAAAAGACTAGTATCCAGGAAGTAAATAAGCAACCACACAGAACAATATGTCTGAATGGAGAGAAATAGTACAATAGAACAGTATCATAATTTAGTAACCGAGGGGACATACTTAATAGCAACTGACTCAGTCAAAAAGGATCCATGGAAAAGGGTAGGATTTTGATTTAGGTCTTGATGGGTGAATAACATTTGAATAGAAAAAAAGTAACCTAAATCAAAGGTTTGTGGTGGGATTGAGCATGCCCAAACATTGGGAAGCATCTAGGAGTAATGAAATAGGGTTGGAATAAGTGGGTTATTCGCAATGAACCTTAAACCACTAGAAAATATTCTTTTTTCTTTTTCTTTCAGATCAATGTATAGAATGCATTGCAAGGAGAAAAAGTAAAACCAGAGAAACTTGTTAGATGGCTGTTGAAGTAGGTATGGGAAAGATGGTGATGATGGCAAAATGTGCTAAAAAGTTGATGACAGTGATATTATGAAAGGAAAACCAGTGGACTTCTTGGCTGTCTGATTACCATGAGCTTCTGAGTTTATGCCAATTTGTGGGACTGGAAGTTTTAAATATGTTGTATTTTGAAATAATGGAGACTCATCCAAGCCAAGGTGAGGGTGCTGAAAATGTGAAATGGAAGCACAACTAAGAGCTGAAGGATTTTCTTTGCAAACAGTATTACCAAGCACCTGTTAAGTGTTAAGTATTCGGTACATAAACATGAGTAAGATATGGTTCCTATTGCCAGGTAGCTTAAAGTCTAACAGAACAGACAAAATGATAGATTTATTCTAGTACTATGAGAGGGGTGAGTCAGTGAAAGCAAAATGATTCTATAGTAGTGATCCAGACAACATATACTGGTAGTCTGGACTTGGATAAGTGAGAATCAAAGAGAAACAAGATAGACTCAAGAAATATTTCAAAGATAAAATGTTCAAGAGTTAGTCATTGGTTGACTAAGGTCAGAGTGAAGGAGGAGTTGAGAATAACTTCTAAAAGTTGCTGAAGTAACTAGGTCAATGGCAGTAATACAGAAATAGAAGAACGCTTTATGGGAATAAAGCAATTATGTTTTATACTATTGAATCTTATGACAATGTGGAATATAGTTATGTGGAAATGTCAGCAGGTACCTTGATATACAACTTGTGGGGCTGAAAGCTATCATCATGCATATGGTAGTTAAGCCATAGATGAGAATGAAATGACCCAGAAGAATAAGGGAGATGGGGGGAGGGGAGAGCCAGAGAGAGAGAGGATAGGGGGAGAGAGAGAGATTGAGACAGGGAGAGAGAGGGAGGGAGGGAGAGAGAGAGAGAGAAGAGAGATTGAAATAGATCCACATAAAACTCTGGGAAACACAGAGGACAGATATAAACGAACAGACTTACCAAGCTGCAATAGAAAAAAACAGACATCAAGTTGGGGTGGGTTGAGAAATAAATTAGAGGTGAGAATATGGAGAAAGTAAGATCACCACACTGAATGCTCTGGCAGAAAGTGGCAGGAAGAGCTAAGACAACTAAAATTGAAGCCAAGAAGCAACATTCTGAGTGAGGAACATGTCATGATAGTAAGGTATCTGTGATACCAAGTAACATGTCTGTCAAGAGACCTGTGAATATATGAAACTAGATAGGAAAGATACAGTGAATGAGAAGAATTTGAAGATAGTCAACCAAGAAGGAATAAATATGGGAGAAAATACTTGGAGTTGATTTCAACTAATTGAATTATCCTAAATACAGCAAATATTTGCTGGTTTTATAGCACAATCAAACATGACTTAGGACTGTTTTGCAACAATGAGAAGTACAAGTTGTCAAGTCCAAAACGAGCTTTACAACGTCGGTGGGGGGGGGGGGGGGAATGGGGGGGAAGGAGAAGGATTGGGATTGGGGGGGAGGGGGGAGGCTGGGAAGGGATGTGAAGGGTAAACAAAGGAGGAGGCTGCAATGCTTGGTAAGAAATGTACGCATTATCCTGCCCATGTAATTGTAACCCCTCTGTACAGTATGTTCACAATAAAATAAAATTAAATTAAAAAAAAAACATGACTTAGGTAGGCATAATGGAATTAAGCAGTCCTGGACACTTGGATAATTCTGCTCCTAGGTATCAGGAGAGGGTTACCCTTCTTTACCAGTATTCCTTGAAGCACCTAGGAAAGTTTTTTCTTGCTTTAAGTAGTTTTATTTTTAACTTAATTTTCTTGTCCAGGTGATGTACAGAGGGGTTACAGTTATATGTGTAAGATAATGAGTACATTTCTTTTTAATATTGTTTCCCCCTCCCTTGCTTTTCTCCCACTTTCCCTCCCCCGAATCCTCCCCAAGTTGTACAGTTCATTTCCAACATAGTGTCTTGTGAGTATTGCTGTTCCATTGATTCACCCTTTATCTGTTGTCTCACCGTTATGTTATTCCCCTTCCCTTCTCGAAATCAGGTACACATATATATAAGACACAGGGTACCAAAATGAAATACAGTGACAACAGGGGATAAACCAAAGGGGAAAAAACACAAGAAAAAAGAAATCATCTCCCACAGTACATTAAAAGCAACAACAACAACAACAAAAAACCATTTGAAGTTCATTTTACTTAACATTTTTGTTACCTGAGTGCAGGCCCATTCGAATTCGAACTGGCACCTCTGGCATGTGCCGCATCTTGAAGGTGCCCACAGAGCTCAGGATGTCCAGGGACATATTTGCGATTTCAGCTGCGTGTCTGCTGCCATTCCTCTTTGGGAGGCCCGAGGCTACCATGTAAGCATCTCCAATGGTCTCTACCTGGGAATTGAGTAAACAAAATTGGCAAGCAAGTAACCTCTTGGTGTTTCTTTGGTACCCATAGAGTTGTGGGATTACAATGGTCTGATGGAGACCAAACGATCTTCTTATAAAATGAAGAAGGCAGGAAGGGGCTCTTGGTGGTTTAAAATCCTGGCTACAGAGATTAGAATCACTTAAAGAGATTTATTTAAAAAATACTAATGTTACTAATATCTAAGTGCCACACCTAGAAATGCTGAAAATCATGTAGCTGTTTCCTAGGGTCATTAGTGATCTAAAGAAATATTAGGCTTCAAGAAATTCCTGTGGAGGGGCTGGGAAGGTGGCTCAGTGGTAGAGGAACCAATCTAAGAGACAGAACAAAAGATGGTCCCCCAGCAATCATTTCTCTACATGGTTTTAAGTACAATTGCTTAGGACATGCTTAGTTTAGAGAATGGGAAAAGAAGGCCAAGGAAGACTCTATTTGATCTGTTTCACTTTATAATATAGTGGAGTTAGTTTTGCAGACTTTTATGAGTATGTGAACTGGATCTTTCCTCAACGATTAACTCACCCTTTGTATTGCTGCCTCTCTGAGGGGCATCCATACTGAACTTACGTGCTCAGTATGAGCCAGTTAGAGCTGGACATTTGGAACTAAAGGCAAATCAGTGCTCCTCATCTTTCCCACAAGTGTGCTCACTCATTTAGATAAACAGGAAAGTGAAGCATTAGGGGTAAATCCAGAAGATAATTAAGCTGAAAGGATTTCTATAAAATATGGCAGGGAGGCTAAGCTACGCCAAAGTTTGGATGCAAGTAAAATTACATGTTAGCCTGGCACTAATCCTAGTTACTTAGGAGGCTGAGATTTGAAGATTTCATTTTGAAGCCAGTCGGGGCAGGAAACGCTGTGAGACTCTTATGTCCAATTAAATCACAGAAAAAGCCAGAAGCAGTGTTGCTGCTCAAGTGGTAGCCTTAAGCAAATGCAGCTCAGGGACAGCACATAGGCCCAGAGTTCAAGCCTCAGGACTGGCAAAACAAAATAATAATCATGTTTTCCTTAGTGTTATACTCACAAAATTCCTTAGCAGTATGAAATTTTGGAATCATACTGTCTTGGATAGAACCCCATATTTACTGTTTACAAACCTGGAGCAAGTCATTTAATCTCTGTGTTTCAATATCCTCTTCTGTAAAGATAGGGATAATGACAATACTTATCTTGTAAGGTTCTATATGAGCTAAATGACTTAATATATGTCAAAGCACTTAAAACCTGACTGATGGATGATAACATGAACTAAGTACAAGTTATCACCACCAGTACCACTGCCATCATCATCATCACCATCACCAAACAGGATTGAGGATATGATTCAGCTCCAAAGAAACAAGTTTAGCATGCAGAAACATACTTTCTCCGTTGCCAGCAATAACAGTCTGTATCCAATACAGGATTTTGCACCTCAACCTGCTTCTATTCAGTGAATGCTACATGGGAGCAGAAACTCAGCAGCTGGACTGGTAGGATTAACACTTCAGGGTTGATAAATGAGTCACCCAGGAGGCCCCCAAGGATATCAGTGAGGACATTAGAAGAGCAGGGAGCCTACCACTGGTGGACCTTAGTATGTAGACTATTAGGAGAAATTATGGGTAGCATCAACTAGAATAAGGATACTAAGGGAAATGTAGTTATAGAAAATGGTCTGTTTGAGATGAGGGCAGTGTCAGGAGAATTGAATATGAAAACAAATCACCAATTTTATAATTCTGTTGTAGTCTGCTCACTTCCACTTCATATTATCAAGTACCCGGAGAAGTGATTCCAATTTTACAGATAAGAAAAAATGAAAATACAAACAGGATTGGTGATTCATTGCTGGTTCAATTTTGATTTTCTTTGCAGTCTGTTGTTTTATATAATAAACAAGACTGTAAATTAGATTCCATTCTTTTGGAGTTGGAGAGTCCTGCTCTGTCTTGGGAGCACACCACTAACTCCCTATTGCAGCTATGAAGTTTTACAATAGCTAATGGCCTCATCCTTAAGACCTTCAACAATTGTCTGAACAGAATCAGCTGGATTGATTAACCAGTGGATGTGTTGCTGCTGATTTTAGTTTCAATTGAATTAGCTTTCAGTGATTTGCTTTTCCCTCTAGGCTGCTTGAGTTCAACAAGGTAAGACAGGTAGTCTGAGTCCATGGATTTATTTTTCCTCCACCATGATTTCAATGTGTGTTTCTTCATTAGCTTGCAGCTCCTGCTGATTGACATGTATGATGTCTATTTCTGAGCCCTACTTAGGTAGCTTGGTCTAGCCCTGAGGCTAGACCTGAGAAGGCGCTATCTAATTTGAGATAAACACACTACTTCTGTGTGATTTGAGAGTTGGAACATTTCAGGCTACTGTGAAGGACCCAATGAATGGAGTTACTCATTCTCCAGCTCTACCTTGATTCCTGGGACAGAGGAGCTGTCTGAATTCTGTATGCCTGGGGCATCTTTCCCCATTGATAAAAAAAGTATCCATATTGCAAACAATGTGGAAATGTCCCTACATAGTTGTGAGGTTTTCAGTCTTTTGTTTACCTAAGAAAAAAGACAACTTATAAAAAACTAGTTTAAGGAAGCAGGGTGTCAAAATTAACTAATGCATTATAAGCTCTGTACTCATCTTCTGTAATCTTTGACAGAAAGCATGGACATGGATAAGTTGAAGGAGTAGAAGGTAGAAGCAAGAGTTTTAAAGATCACAATATAAATGGGCTTTTGGTTACCCTGCAGCAATCCTAAGAACCCCAGGTCTAATAGCAACCTCATGCAATGCCAAGTTCCTTCATGTATAAAACAACAGTACCTAAGAGAATAGACCAAACCATGAATTACATCAACACAAACCTTATCAAGATGACTCTGTGGAAGCTACTATGGATAAAACACCAACACTTCTGTGGCCCCTTCAGAGCCTACCAAAACACTGTTTACATTGAGGCACTCAGTTGTTAAACTGCAATAACTCACCCAGCCTCAACTGCTTTTTAATACCAATTCTAGGCAATAATAGCTCAAAGGAATCTTTCTGGCCATCTCTTGCTGAGTTGAGAGTTGTCAATCTGTAAATTAGAAAACAATACGCATTCTATCTGGCCTTCATTACCAATGAGATACCAATCAAAGTGGTATATTGCATAACACTTTCATTCCTAAAAAAAAAGCATTCTATAAAATTGCATCCTTCATTATTGGCAGGCACATAGATAAGCCTTGTAAAATCTTCACTCTGAAACTTAGTTCCTTGATAACATACCTTATAGACATCATGACTGCCAATGATTGCATCAAAGAGTGTGTACAGGTCATTCAGAAGATCCACCACTTCAATGGGCTCACTCATGGCTGAGATGGTGGTGAAGCCCACAATGTCGCTGAAGTACAAGGTGACCAAGTCAAAACCCTCAGGTTCAACTGTGCAGCCCTTCTTCAGGGACTCAGCAACTGATCTGAAAAGAAGATGTGGCAGATTTCCAAAGAGGATACCAATCTCCCTATTTTCTACTGACACCTTCTAAAGCATAATTTTGTCCCAAATGACCTCCAGGTAAATGATGAGAAAGAAATTGTCACCTCGATAAAAACCCTAACTTGTTCACTTATTCTGCAAATATATATTGAGTGGTTACAATGTGTTCATCACTGTGCTAGGAGCTAGAATACAGCACTAAACAGATAGAACTAGTCTATGCTTCAGTAAGTTTTTTTTCTCTCTTAGCTCTCAGTACTTCTACCTTATCCAATTTCCTTCAGGGGAATGTTCCCAAGGGCTGCTTTTCCATGTTACTAGTTTCCCCAATTACCTCCTAGAAGATCATGTTAAAACATGTTAAGGCATTCTAAAACTTTGGAAATGGTAGCAAAAGATAAGATTTTTTATTTTCAACTAAGAAAAAATAAAAACTGGAAAAATAATGTAACTACTGTCCTATATGAGCTCAAAGGGCTGCCTATTTTAATTGGTCAACCTCCTGCTAAACTCACAAAGTGACATAGAGGAAAGCAAAAAACTTAAATGACCAGCATGATCAGCAAGTAGTCAAAAATTAGGATATGTACTCTGCACCCTTGGTTGCCAGTTCTACTTTGATTTGAAGGTGTGACTCAAACCTACTGGGAGTAAAAAGGGTGTAGGATGGGGGGAAGGAGCAGTTCCTTGATAAGTAATTTTTTCTTTTTTTTAAAATGAAACACACTGTTATAAGGATTCACACTCCTCAGGTGTTCACACATACGGTGGTAGCATCTGTGTTAGAAGCTTTTCTGTTTTCTGTTTTTCAATTTCCAGCTCTTCAGTCCGCTCCCTGATCAAATCTTCCAAGTTGCTAGAATATTGTTCCAACATCCTAAGCATGGAATCGATGATATTGGTCTTTTTCCCTTTATTGCAAGTTTTAAACTGAAAGTCAAACAGAAAAATAAAAGAGCCATGGAATGCTTTAAATGTTAAAACAGGCTCCCTCATCAAGAATACTTTTTTTCTAAAATGCCAGGCAAGAGAGATAAGAAAAGTCACTACTCACCCTTGTCACCCTGGCCCATTCATAGGGCTCTATTCCCCACCGAAGTAGTTTGTTCCCTATCCTTTTGGTTCTTTCAAATCTGAGCAAAGAGGCTCTAAGCAGGCTTCTTTCAGTTCTGAGATGTTATCAGAAGAACTGTGGCTACTTCAAAGATAATAGGGCTAGCTCTTAAGCCCAGGCCAATTATGGGTATGGTAAGCATTAGAAGAATAAGAGCTAATAGTCTACAATTCTAAACCATCAGTCTACTAAATCGTTCGTAGCCTCAAATACTACTGTACTGTCAGTTTCTGATACTGGCAGGTTCCTAGATCATGTAAGAGGGTTCAAGATATATATAGTAAGATCTACCCCTATTTCTTGGGGTCCAAGAATAATATGTCCCTTAGTATCTGCCATTCATGTCAGTCAGGGACATATAGAAATTCAATTGGTCTTGCCCCACGTGGTGTCCTGATCCCTTAGATGAGGCTGTTTGTCACAAATGTTCCATTCACCCTCCTAAGACCTTGTCCATCTAAAAAGAGCTTGATTGACATAGCATTAGAATCACTAGAAGCAGCCCATTCCATGATGTTATAATTGGCATGTACAAGGCTGTATTCACAACAATAAAAGACTGCTGGTAGTTTTGCTAAGTAGACTTCTAGGACCCTATCTTGGTAAACACCTTCCTATGGAGTTGGGTCACACATGCTCCCTGTAGTAACTACTACCATATGAAAAGTACTAAGAGTTTTGTTTTTTTCTGAGCCTGATTCACATTTATTTGTCCTCCAAGGTCCTGAGGGTAAATTCAGCAGAGAGTTCAGATGCTTCAGGATCCCGCTGTTGCTTAACTTAGGAAGCTTCCTTCTCCTCTCCTCATTTAAGTTTCATTAATTGCAGAAAGTTGAGAGCCTAGCCTTATTGTCAGACAGGATAAACTTCCACTGAAGCATTTTAGCTCCAGAAGGGCTTGTTTGAAAGTTGTATAATACATACTCCTCTATCATCAGCTTCTCTGCTGCGTTCTGAAATAACATCTTTAGCATCAACACAAGACAAATGCTTTTTCCCCTGCCTCCTGGTAAGGTTTTAGAAATGTGACCTTTATGGTCCCTTACTTTTTCCATACTATTGAACACCTGTTTGAGTGTCCTCAAGAAACCTACCCAGTCTAATGGAGGCATTGTTAGCTGGGGACACGGATGACTTCATCAGCAGAGCCCCTTAAGCTTTCAATCAAACTCTTTCTCTTTTCCGCCTCAGATACCTGTCACTCAAAAAGCATCTCAGAGCTGTACTCCAGACAGATTCAAGCCTCTCTCTGAACTAGCACTCATGGAGAACACCCATAGTTTAGATATTCTGTAATTTTGACAAAGTTTAAAGTGCATGCTCCAATGGCAGAAGTGTACCCTAGCTTCCTCAGCAGGAACTCTGTCCATTCCTCCATCTCCCCTTCCTATCTCCACCTGGAGGGAAACAATCAACCTCTTTAGAAATTTAATATCTCTTAAAGAGATAAGTTATCATTTTTCATACACAATGGCCTCAAGTAGTTCCGGGGAACCCAAGAAATCTCCTCCTTTTGCAGTCCACGTGAACATCCTTTCAAACACAAGGTTTTCCTCGCCCTCCAAAAATAACTGGGCATTACCTAAATAGCATACTCATCAGGGTTCTGAAGGATCTCAAGAGCAAATGTGAATGCTTGAGGAGCACTATCTCTTCTAAGACACCCATCTTCCAATAGTCTCAGTCTTTGTGAACGCCTAACAGAGTTTAATCCATCACTGAAAGATTGGTTAAACTAGATTTTGGATAGTCTGTTGAAGAAGTTCAGACACAAAAGAACACCAGAAATAACCTTTGGGCTTTTGGAGGATATGTTGGTTATATTCCAGAACCAAGGACATAAAAAGAAAAAAAAAGATCACCCCAGAATGCTCCTCCAAGTGAAGTGTTCATTTCCCTTGTAAGGAATTCCTTTCATAACATAATGAGGACCAACAAGTCATTGTTGTACAGAATCCCTTCAGGGTGGCTTCTGAACAGTGATACGATTGACAGAGCCTCACCTGGTTAAATATTTCATCAAAAGTTGGTCGTTGTTCTGCAGCCTCGGCCCAGCACTGCTTCATCAGCTGGAGACATTCTGGAGGAGCATACTCAGGAGAAACTACTGGTCTGTACACAGGAGGAGGCTTCTTAAGTCTGTCTATGATTTCTGCCCACATGCAAGAAGTGAAATGTTTGTAAGTCTTAGAAAAGGCATCAAGGCTGAACAGAAACAACTGAGTTTATCCAACAAAGGGATTGGTCAGGAGAAAAGAGAAGGACTATCTCTTGCTTTCTCCTAAGGTGGCTTAAATGTTGATTGTATTTGAGCAAAGGCCATACTAGACCTTTCAGAATCAATCAGCTCTATCCTGCTTCTGCTAGGGTTTACATGCAGTTATCTGATGTCATTTCTAATACTGCAACTGCAGTATGTTGGCTCCTACCTCTACATCCATATCATCTAAGCCTTATAATGCCCACAATTGACCCACTTAACTCTTACTACAGGCCCAGGTCCAGCCCAGTTCCTGGCTTTGGGACTTGCATAGCTTCTAGGCATAGATAATTGAGAGCAGTAGTAAATAGTTCATGCCCTTTTCAAGAACCCTTCTGGTTGGTGGTCAATGAAGTCCACTTTCAGTAAAACTTTATATATCAGAGTATGAGCTGAACACTCTGTATGCATTGTCTTGTTAGATTTTCACCACAGGCAGATGAAGTAGGCATTCGAATTTTTACCAGTGTAAAAATTGAATCATAGAGAGTAACCAACTTGCCAGAAGTCACATGAATAATAAGCAACAGAATCTGGATTTGAACATGGGCAATGTCCACCTACCACATTGCTCAGGCCTCACCTGGGAGTTGCTAAACTCCCTGTTCAGAGAAAAGCCATTAGGAACCAAAGGTCTGAGTCAACAAGAATGTATTTATTTATTTTTACAAAAGTTGACTTCCTAGCAGAAGTTGAAAATCATTTATTAGCTTTCAATGCCCCCACTTACACATATGAAGCTTTAAAATGATCTCTCTCTGAGTCCAGCATGGACTTCTCTAAACCTTTCTTGTTTTTTTTTTTTTTTTTTGTCGGTCGTGGGGCTTGAACTCTGGGTCTGGGCGCTGTCCCTCAGCTCTTCAGCTCAAGGCTAGCGCTCTACCACTTGAGCTACAGCGCCACTTCCGGCTTTCTGGTGGTTTATTGGAGATAGGAGTCTCACGGTTTTTCCTGCCCGGGCTGGCTTTGAACCGCGATCCTCAGATCTCAGCCTCCTGAGTAGCTAGGATTACAGGCGTGAGCCACCAGCGCCCGGCCTCTAAACCTTTCTTAAAGTACACTGATCAAGTCACTTTCTTGCTCAAAATCCCTTCATGACTCCCCTAGCCCAAAGAACAAAATCTAAGCTCTTTAACATGGACCTTGGCTATCTCTTCAAGCTTGTTTCTCACACTAGTCTCCTCTCCATCACACCCACCTCCTAACCTCTGCATATGAATTGAATCTTGCTAGACCTAGCAGTGTGCTATTCCTACCCCTGTACTGGTCACACAAGTCTAACAGTACTTCTTTATACTTTAGTATGTCTTGACCCCATGAAAGAAGTTCTATTCTTGCTTCTCATTTCCCAGCTCCATGTGACATAACATTTTCTCTTCCTATAATCCAGATCTTCCTTATCAGTAATGATTTCTCTATCACAGCATCCTACTCTCAGTGCAATATATGTCATAGGAATGTACACCCCTACCTTGGAATATGAATGCCTTGTGCACTGCCTGGCAGAGGGAGCCCTTGTCCTTTTGTCAGAACATATCCAATTGAATGGGTCTCTCATCTGCATGCCCTTGTGGTGATTACAGTCAAATTGCAATATACAGTGCAAAACAATACACATGCTTCAGCAGGGATACATGGAAATAAGCACAGAAGCCTCCCTACAGGTAGTAATAGGAGTTGGATGAGGCCAGGTGGAAAAGAGAAGGGGGAATTCTAGCTACTGTGAATAACATGTGCAAAGGCACAAGCATAGAGAGAACATGGTGCTTTCGGAGCACTGCCAACGTATGCTTTAGGAAAATAAATGGAAAAGGCAAGGATTGTGAATGGCCTTGTATGTCATCTGAGGAGTGTGGGCTTCCTGTAGCAAGTGATAGGAACTAGTTGGAAGGCTTTAAGTAGAAGATTGATGGGGAACTTTGACGGCAGCAAAAGATAGCCATGTGGTTTTCTTTCTCCATTTTTTTATATTTTAAATTAATTTAGACTTCCATAAAACTTGTGAAAATAGTACTATGATTTCTTGTGTGCCCCTTACTCAGCTTACCCTAATGTTAGTAACGTATAACCACAGTAAAAAAGAAAATAATATTAATAGACTCCTTACTTGAATTTTATCAAATTTCCCCTAATGTCCTTTTTTCCTATTTTGTAATCCAATTCCAGATCTCATACTACATGTAATTGTCATGTCTTAGTCTCCTCCAATGTGTGACCATTCCTCCTTTCTTTCTTATCTTTCACAGTAGGCATAATTTTAATGGGTGCTGGCCAGTTATTTTGTAGACTATCTCTTAACTAGGGTTTATTTGAAGTATTGTTATTGCTATTGTTGTTTTCATGATTTGATTAAAGTTATGCTTTCTTCTTTTGGCAAGAACATCACAGAGGTATTGTTGTGCCCTTTTTGGCACATCATGTTAGGAGTATATGATGTCAGTGTGTTTTCTTAATGATCAAAGTCACTCTAATCTCCTGGTTAAGGCAATGTCTACAAGAGACACCATCTGTAAACTTGCTATATTTCTCATTTATAACTTGTATATATCTAGGACGTTCACACAGATTCAGGCAGTGCTATGAAAGCACCATGACCTCCCCTTGCCTTTGCACATGCTATTCACAATGCTCAGAATTCCCCTTTCTCTTCTCCACCTAGTTTTATCTAACTCCTGTCACCACCTCTGGGGAGGCTTCTTAGGCTTTTTCATTGTGCTTTAAATAACCCTTTGAGAATATATGTTTCCCTACTTAGTTTATCACACACTGATAAAAAGCTTTCCTGAGAATTATGTGTTTAGGTAGAAGACACAGATGAAAACCTGTGGCATTCCATAGGAAAAGACTGACATCCAAGAAGATCCTGAGGGATAGTGAAATACTTTACAAGAACTGTCTCAAAGGAAAAGAAGGGAGCTCTTAGGTAAAGAAGACTAAAGGATTGACATAGGTTCTGAAGACCCTTGGCTTACATCACCGTTAGTAAAAGAACCAGCTTCTTGGTTATGGAAATTTCAGCTGCCTGGCTTCAAGCCACACTTGCATACAGCACAGGCTGCTTGTAGACTAGCAGGCTGTTAACACAGTCTTCTGGCAAATCACAACAGCCTGGTTGGCCTTGATGATCTGGGTCACAATGGGACCATAGTGACTCTTTCTCACCTCCTGCTTACCTTGAGCAGGCAGATCCATCATGCAGAATGGGGTGCCCCGGACCATCACTTCTTGCATGATGATGGCAAAGCTATACACATCTCCCGCAAAAGATCCTAACCTGCTGCCCTCTGGGGCTCTCAACAGTTCAGGGGCTGTCCACAGCAACTCTGCAAAGAAAGAATTGTGTAATGAATGCCAGGAAGATTAACTGACATCTGCAATGCCCTCAAGGGCACTAAGGGTACAATTTTATTGACTTTTATATTCTTATTACACAGACTGGCATGCTAGTGCCCCCCTCTTGGGATCTGAATCTATTAATCTAAGGAATTATATGCAGAGAAAACATACTACTCTCTCTACCCCCAGGGTGGAGAGACAGACACAGCAGAGGTGTGGGGAAGGGCAAGAAGCTTGCAGTAGATACACTATCTAGTGCTTGCTTTCTTGCTCTCTTGAGTCTGCAAGTAGTGGCTGGCAGATTTCCAGGGAAAGGCAAGTGTACTGCCAGACTGGTTGCCATGGATTTGCTGTTTACTAAGATCTATATGTGTCTGGTAATTTGATTGTGCCGGGTCTCAGGGATTCACAAGTTGCTTTTTCTAGGTTACTCTAAAAGGATTAGAGGATCCTCAGCCTTCTCTGTTCCCTGCAAAGCAAAAGGGCATAGCAGTGACTTTAATTCAGTTTTGCAAATATTTATTGAGAGTCTACTACATACCAGCCACTAAGCCAGATGTAGAAATGATACCAGAGATGAATCAGAACTTGGCTTTGCCCTCTAGGAGTTTACAGACTACTGGATGTACACATCTAACGGCGATAAAGGAAAGATAATGATAAAGGCCCATATGTAGCCCACAAAAATGAATCCATTAAATCCATTGTTAATATCCACTGCTGCATTCAAAGCACTACAGGGAACAAAAAAATATCTCTACTTTTAGAATTTATGACAGAACATTAGAAAATTTTGTACTGGGTAACTTAAGGAATAATATAAAGAACTATGAGAGTGTTAAAAGGGTAGTTAAAAGTGTGGGAAGGCTACCACTTAGGTTGAGCCATGTAAAATTGCCAGTTCTGTGCATGTACATTGGAAATGATTGAATAACAGCAATTTCCTCAGATTCAAACGAATACAAACCTGAGCTGATCAACTTAACCCAGGAAGGCTTCCTGGAAAAGCTAAATCTTAAATGTACTTGTTAAGGTCAAGGATGTAGCTTTCTGAAGCTGAGAGGGTAAGGGCTTTGCAGGGAGAAAGAACAGTATGTGCAAAAGAACAAGAGGCAGAAAGGAGCAAATTGCGGGTGGTAGGAGGGTGGTAAGCAGATTATCTTGGCTGAAGAGAAGGGCTCTGTTAAGGAATAATGAGAAAGGAGAAATGGGCTTGATGAAGTGGGGGAGGGAGGATGGCTGGAAGAATGGGGGCAGAAGGTGAGAGGCCCTGAGAGCCAAATGAAGGCATTTGGACTGAATACAAAAGGCAGTAGGGGTGCTGGAGCTAGAGAGGGATTTGATGAAAGCCGTGTTCAGGAAGATTAATCTGGCGACCTGCACTAGCAGGATTGAAGGAGAGAGGCTGAGTCAGGGAGACCAGCGAGGAAGTTATTGAAGTAAGAGCCAGAGTGCTGAGGTGAAAGGGGCCTGAGTGGGGGTGGGGCAGCAACAGCAGGGAGGGGAACCAGATACGTTGGAAGGCTACATAGGAGAAGGAAGTGGCCAGGCTAAGTGGACTGGCTTTTATGAAGGGGAGGGACTTGGAGGAAATGAGAGGTTGACATGCAGGTTGGGAAGCTGAAGAGTGTCTGATAAGAGTGGGGAGAGTCAGGAGGAAATTGATGACTCATGGTCCATCTTGTTAAACATGGGATATTAGGTAGGGAGCCCAGCTACAAGTTCCCAGGAAGCAAGGACAGCAAAAGATCACTAATTATTTTGGTTTGTTAGTGAAATTAAATAAAGAGAAATTCACCCTTCAAATCCTTATTTTCAACCAACCCTGATCAAAATGATAGGAAAAGAAATTCTGGTCTTCAATATGCATTGTCCTTGTAAACTGATTGGTTGTTGAATGGTAATCCCTTTGTATCCCTTCATATAAGTATTTAATGATAATAAAAATATAACATAAAAGAATGAAATTCTGGCTGGGGCTCATACTTGCAATCCTAGCTACTCAGGAGTCTGAGATCTAAGAATCCTAGTTCAAAGTCAACCCAGGCAAGAAAGTTCATAAACACTTATTTCCAAGTAACTACCATAAAAGCCAGAAATGGAGCTCTGGCTCAAGTGATAGAGCAATATCCTTGAACAAAAAAGCTGAAAGACAGCCAAGTGATGGTAGCTCATGCCTGTAATCCTAGCTGCTCAGAAGGATGAGGTTTGAGGATCACAGTTTGAAGCCAGCTAGAGCAGGAAAGTCTGTGAGAGTCTTATCTCCAATTAAGCACCCCCCAAAAAAAGCCAGAAAAGGAGCTGTGGCTCCAGTGGAAGAGAGCTAGTCTTGAACAAAAAAGCTCAAGCCCCAGGACCATGGCGGGGGGGTAAGAAAAACAAAGCTCAGGGACAGTGCTCAGGCCCTGAATTCAAGCCCTGAACTAGCATACACAAAGAAACACAAAAAAGAAATTCTGGTCTCATTCCTAATAATCTACCCATCTTTGTCATTCAGGTGTACCCATTCTTTGTCACCCTACCAGGCTCTTCTGACTTTCTACATAATAGTGTCTCATGAAATTCTGGTTCACAACCGTGGTTTTACTACAGATATTATGTGTCTTCCTCATTAGGAAAACTGCCATTTACAAATAAAATTTAAAATGTTGAATTGTACTGTAGTTAAAAGTATACATTCATGGTAGAGACTTCAAGCTCCATGGTTAGAGGGGAAGCAGAGAGTGGATATTTTAGAGCCTAGAAAACTGTGTGGGGCTGGCTTCTCCGTGGCACCCTCTCCTTGCACATTTAAAAGCATAAGAATAGAAAAGAGCAAAATTCTCTGGTAAAAAGCATGGTGATTAAATACAATCATAACCAAATAGTATTTTCAGAGAGCACTGACATGTATGTTGTTAATGGCTAAAATGAGGTTGTATCTGCACTATACTTACCTATTTGAGTATGGACAGTAATGAATACACTTATAACCCATTCCCATTGCCTTATCCCCACTCTAGAACCAAGTAAGAGCCACTAGCTACCATTAGGGTTGAACTCTCAGAAAAGCTGGAAAAATTACTTTGGCTTGTTTTGTATGAGATGAGCCAGTACTAAATCTGAGCTTTGCTGTGGTAATAAAATCAACTTTGGGGAACTGCTGCAGTATAGTATTTAAAAACATAGAACTGAAAATCAAGAGACCTGTGTTCAAAAATTTCAGTTTGATTACTGCTTGGCTTGTCTTTTTGAACCTCTCAACTTCCCTGTATGAAAAGTGGAAGTTAAGCCAGATGACTTTCATAGGTATTCCAACTATCAAATACGCTAGCTTTGACTTCTAAAGGAGCAAGTTCCTTTGTTTTATTTTATTCAGTTACTATCATTCAACATATATTTGTTCTGCCAGATATGGTAAAAACACAGAGGGAATTCAACGTGTTTTGTGCCTTCACAAAATGTATAGTTTGGGTGTAGGGAGAACAAAGCTAATTACTTGAATAATACTAGAAAAGTATATTAGGAGAAATTTTGAGGCCCTAGAAGAGCATGAAGAGGGGAATTTAACTGAGCATAGAGGGTCAAGGAAAACCTGGTGACATAATGATACTTAAGGAGTCTCAAAAAAGGAGTAGAACTTAGCCAAAACTAGAGGAGTATAGGATTGAATGGGAAAGGAAGACTATGCAGGCAGAGGCCACAGCATGTGTAAAGGTCTCGGATTTAAGAGAAAGCCTAACATAAATAAACAACTGAAAGAAGTTCAGCCTGGCTGAAGCATACAGATGGAGGGGGAATGGCAAGGCCCAGACCAGGCAGGACTCAAAAACCATGTAAAGGAATTTGAATTTTATTTTAAGAACAATGAGAAGCCATTTAATGAATTTAGGCCCAGCAGTAAAGCAATCAGATTTGCAGGTTAGAAAGCTCCCCCTGGCTGCAGGGTGTGAAAAACACTGCAATTTGGAGAATGGAGTAACAACAAGCTGAAAGGGAGACAGGAAGATAGAGACAAGACACAACACACATGCACACACACACACACACACACACACACACACACACACACACACACATTGCAGATATCCTTTACCCTGAGAATATGCCTTTAAGTTTGAAAGTTGCCAGCCTGTGAATTAAATGAAACTCTCTAGAAAGGTAGGTGTTCCATTTTTTTCTATATGATAATTTGGACAGAATGCTATATACTTGCCATCTCTGCAGCTGTTGTCTTCAAATCCTCTTGGAGAGCTAGACACAAGGCAACTACTCTAAGCTTTCAAACTATAATTAGCCAAACAATTACTGCAAAACTAAGAATAAGAACAGATCCATGAGAGAAAGAGTGGCAATATCTCATCCATTTCACTGTGATTATTAGGAGCTTCAACTCTTCCAAAGCATGAGTGAGCAAAGAAAAAGGAAATTACAAGTTTCCCTTTGGATGGGTGTAAGGGGACGGGTTTCACAAGCCCTTAAATGAGAGCCCCAGCCTTGCTGCAATCTAGTTGCATGATTCAGAAAATCCATAAGCCTTAACTGTCTCATATGTAAAGCGAGAGTTGTAATGGATGACTTTCTAAAACTTAGTATTCCATAGTCCTGTAAAGATCAACATAGTACCAGTGATGATTGGACTGCGTGGGGCCGCCTCTTCTCTCCTGTGGTACAATTTTTGAAATTTTATCATGCTAAAGATCCTTCCAAGAATAGGAATAAATTTTGCACCTTTACATCTCCCACTCTTTTTTTTGTTTTGTTTTGTCTGTTTCTCTATTTTTTTGTCATGAGCTCTCTTCCTTACTTTCACAGTATTGATTAAAAGTTCCAATGCCCAAGTTTCCTATATGGATTTAACCCAATTGGTTCTCTTCTTCTTTTCCCTCTCTCTCTTTTTTGTCAGTTCATTACCCCTGGCTCTCCCTCCCCCTCCTTAGATTTTTTTCCCTTTTGCTTTGATCCATTATGATCCCTACAGGCATTGCTTAACGCTGTCACTGGTGCACTAGACAAAAGACAAAAACACAAAATGGTCGTTATATGCATGCCTTCTTGTTTACTATAAAGCTATCATTCTGTCTGTAGCTAGTCATCCCATACCACACATAGAGCATTTATTTTCTGGGGGTCACTCCTTGTTTCTTCTGTGAAAGACACAGTGATGGTATGCTCAGGGGACATCCCATTCCAGAATGCACTTTGTGGGAGTCCAGCTTCCAAATTACCCTCCATTCAATTTGACAAGTATTTATTGAGCACCTACTGTGTGCCTAGCACTCAGCAAGATTCTCTAGGGACTGCTGGGGTCTCTAAACAATACAGCCTAATCCTGCCACAGCAGGAACTGCACATTATTGCACTGGCTTTGTTTAGAAGGAAAGGCTGGGCTGAGGTTACAGCCTGCGAACTTCATTCAAGTCCCTTGGCTTGGAAATAAGGCTGGATTTTCAACAAAAGTGAGGAGTTGAAATCAGCCTGAAGCTTTAATTCAATGCATATTTTTTGTTCAAACCTTGGAGTTACCTTGCAAGCATTAGAAGGGTCCAATTCTTTGCTTACCTTCTACCAGAGGTTCCTCTTCAGAAAGTCTCAGCATTTCTAAAATGTCATTAAGACCATAATCTGTCACTTTTAACACAAAACGCCCATCTACAACACAGTTTCGAGACTTTAGCCTCCCATGAACAAATTCTCTGTGGTGTAAGTACTTCATGCCCTGCAGATAACACAAAAGAATTTATTTAGGAAAACAGGGGTTATACCATGGGGGAGGGACATACAAAGCAACAAAAAAATCACGTGGTACCTTATAAATATGTTAGAAACAATAGCAAGAAAGAAAAAACCACTTGTGTCCCTATCTTGGGGTTCATTTTGTTTATTCTTTCACTGTAATTGATATTGGTATAATTTGGGGAGTGGACGGGGAAAAAACAAATTGTTTAAATAGGAATAGAGATTGACCCATTGCAACAATAAGATGTACACGACACTATGTTGAAAAACAAACTTTACAATTTAGGCAAGCGGGGAGATGGGAGGGAAGGGATGGTAGGGGAAAAACAAAGGAGGAGGCAACAATGCTTGATAAGAAATGTACTCATTACCTTGCTCATGTAATTGTAACCCCTCTGTACAGTATTTTCACAATAAAAAACTTATTTTTTTAAAAAAGCATTTATTTAAAAACTTATTTGACTATTTTGTGCTCTTAGAGCCACTTTCTGAAATTGTTAACGGCATGAGCTATTATGATCTAGAATTGAGGCTTTTTCTCTGATATGCAGGGAAAGCAAACCTTTGAGAAGATTTTTAGATCCCTTTTCTCTTTCAGTGTGAAGCTTTGATGAAAAATCATAGTTGTAGTTACTGAGAATTATGTGTTACTGGGGTACTTATTGGCATTTCAGACACAAGATGGATCCATAGATCCAAAATTTCCAGGAAGTAGGAAATTCTGATTTTTCTCAACAAGTCTAAAGTACCTCTCATCCATTTTTGGCAAGGAATAGAAACTGTTATAGCTTTTGGGGTGGGCAATTTGGGAAGAGCAATAAGAAATTTAAATATGTATGCCCTGTGAACAAGGGATTCTACTTCTCCAGAGAAGCATTTATTTGTTTGCTTCCATGAACAAAAAAAGACAGAAGAGTGATCCCTGCAGCTTGGCTTTTATATCATTACATAATTAAAAATATCTTCCGTATCACTAAAGAAGTGGCTAGACTCAAAATACATTCTTGAATATTCTGCAGTACTTAAAAAATAAGTTACATCTTCCCAGAACAGGTGGCTCATACTTGTAATCCTAGCTGCTCAAGAGTCTGATATCTCAGGATTGAGGTTCAAAGCCAGCCTGGGCAAGAAGGTCTGTGAGACTCTTATCTCCAATTAATTACCCAAAAGCTGGAAGTAGAGCTTTGGCTCAAGTGATAGAGAACTAGCCCTGAGCACAAAACGTCAGGGAAACAGTGCCAGGCCCTGAGTTCATGCTCCAGGACTGGCACAAAAAAAGAAAGATCTATATGTACCAATATAAGACACAACGACTCTAAACCATAAAGTAAGTGAAAATAGTAAATTGCAGAACTATGTAATAGCATGTCTATTAAAAAACAAACATCTGGCCATGATAGAGCACTTCCGCAATCCCAGCACTTAGGAGGATAAGGCAGAAGGATTATGATTTCCAGGCCACCCTGGACTACATAATAAAATCCTGTCTCAATACAACAATAACAAAATCATCCAGAGCATAAATACACTTGAAACGAATTTCAAGACAACAAATTGGCAGCATTTGTTAACTCTAGGTGAAAGATATGAAGAAAAAGAGTTGAACAAATGTCAGTATCTTTCTCATGTATTTATCACTTGACTTTAAATGTCAATTTAATATATTGGTTTTTAAAATTATAAATAGATGACGAATAGGAGGAGAAAACTAAGCATTACTGACCTCTGTGCTTACTTAGCACCTTTACATGACACACAGAAAGCAATCTGCCAAGATTCTCTGTCAGAAAGGATTTAATCATTCTGCATATAAATACATTTGTATTCTAGTGCAGTTGTTTTAGAACTCTTAATGCCAGGAGTCATTTTAGGTACTGGCTTGGCTTTTTATTTGGATGCTTTACATCTTGTGCTTTCAGAGAGGCGGCCTCTGCAGAGGTTACTATGGCTGAGGATTTTTTCTCAGGTTGCCTAATCCATCACAGGCCTGGGAGAACAATCATTGAGAGTCATGAAACTCACTGAGCTTTGATTATAGGGTAAGTAGAAAGTGTACTAGAATAGGAATCAGATTTGGATTCTGTTATCAGCTCTGCCATTGATAAACATGTGTTAGTACCTACAAGGTGTGCCAGTCACTGCATAACTAAGAGGGTCTCAGCTTTGCTGAGACTCTGTAAAAGAAGTGTAATCATACCTGTCTTGCAGAGAATTTGAATGAGATATCTGCCCATTCCAAGCCCACTTGAAAATGTTTAGGTTACCATACAAAAACCAAGATGTGATCAATGTGCAGGAGACTCAACAGGTAATTATCCAGACTAGCTCTATAAAAATGTGCATGCATCTAATTTGACATAAGATTTCATGGAGTCCAAGCACCCATTTCATGAACTGTCATTGCTGTGGTAGTCCTTAACACCAAGAATAGATTTGCTGCCTTATAGAACCAGTGCTTTCATGACTTTCCAGTAGCACTGAGCTCCACAATTATAGATAGATAGATTAGATAGACAGACAGACAGAAAGACAGACAGCAGACAGACAGACAGACAGACAGACAGACAGATAGATAGATAGATAGATAGATAGATATGCAAAGAATCATCTAGTTCTATGCTGAGTCACCTTTTAGAAGGTAGGGACTAAGTATCACCAATAGTTTTAGAAAGGAACACTGTTTTATTGCCACAAAGCAAACAAATGTGATGGAAGGGAAAGATGGCTTAATAGCCATCCTTTTTGCTTAATAGCCATGTTTGCTTAATAGCAAACCGGAAGTAAGAAAAACCTGATCTTTAAATTGAGAAGGACACAAGCAGGAAAACACTTTCTGTATCAGCACCTTATAACAAACACATGCTGGGTGCTGGTGGCTCACACCTGAAATCCTAGCAACTTAGGAGGCTAAGCTCGAAGGATCCTAGTTCAAAACCAGGCCAGGCAAGAAAGTCTGTGAGCCTCTTATCTCCAATTAAGCACCAGAAAACCGGAAGTTTAGCTGAGGCTCAAAGTAGCAGTAGTAGTAGCCTTGGGCACAAAAGCTCAGGTACAGCTCCCACGACCACCACCATCACCACCACCGACAACAAAATAACACACATGGATATAGGATTTATGAGGAGGGTGAGGAGGTAGACTTTGGAAAGAAAAGTTGAGAAGTAAAATAATCACTATGATTTGAGGAAAATAAAACATTCCCAAACATTGGAGCTCTAATCTACAGGGAAATTTCAGTTTCCTTAGTCTTTCACTAACCTTGATGAGATCCAGCAGAAGTGATGATTTAAACATCCAGTCAAGTTTCACATCCTCATTTATTAGTATATCTTCTAGGCTCCTTCGAGAACAGAATTCTGTCACAATGGCAAACATCCCAGAATCATAGAAGAAACCCAATAAAGGGTTAATATTCTCATGGCGCAGGTCTTTCATCTGGACACAGAAAGAAAAGGGAACAAGACTAGAAATGAGTTCCCCCAAGAAGTTTCCAGATAAAAGACCAACACAACTGACAAAATTGAATTTTTTTTATTGTGAAAATACTGTACAGAGTGGTTACAATTACATGGGAAAGATAATGAGTACATTTCTTATCAAGCATTGTAGCCTCCTCCTTTGTTTCCCCTTTCCACCCCTTCCCATCCTCCCTCTGCCCCCCCCCACCAAAGTTGTAAAGTTCCTTTTTCAACATAATGACTTGTACTTCTCATTGTTGCAATGGGCCCACCTGTATCCCTATTTAAACAATGTGGTTTTTCCCTTCCCCTCCACAAATTATACCAACATCAAATACAGTGAAAACAGGGGTTATACCCTGGGGGAGGGACATACAAAGCAACAAAGAAATCATCTTATAAATATGTTAGAAACAATAGCAAGAAAGAAAAAACATTTGAGTCCTTATCTTGGGGTTCATTTCGCCTAACGTCAACTTATCTGACCTTTTCTGCTTGTCTCTGACATATACTAGTTATTGCAAATAATGGAAACTATGGGACCTATGTTTCTTTGGGCCTGGCTTACTTCACTTTTGACATCAGCATTGTGAGATGCTGCAAAACACATGAGTCTTCCTAGACTTCTTATCTACAGAACTGTGGATCATAAATTGCAACTAAGTTTGTACTAATTACATTATGGTACTAATAGAAAAAGAATGCAATAACCAAAGAAGAAATTTTAAGGAAGGATTTCTCTTAGCATTCTTTAAGTGAATGCTAGAGTTGGGGCCTTAATCCAATTCTTACGAAACTCTCTAGAATGGAGCTCAATGATCCAAAAATACTAAAGAGAGTTAGCACAGTAAAGAGGTGAATAGGGGCTGGGAAGGTGGCTCAGTGGTGGAGCGCTTGCCTTGCATGCCTGAGGCCCTGGGTTCGATTCCTCAGCACCACATAAACAAAAAGAAAAAGGCCGGAAGAGGCGCTGTGGCTCAAGTGGTAGAGTTCTAGCCTTGAGCTGAAGAGCTGAGGAACAGCGCCCAGGCCCAGAGTTCAGGCCCCGCAACCGGACCCCCCCCCAACAAAAAGAGGTGAATAGGTTGCCTTCTTGGAAGGATATGCCTGAGAAAAAATGGAGAACAAAAAGATAAAATGTATCTAACTAAAACAGCCATATAGCTTTAACCAAACTCAGTCACTACATAGATTAATAGTTCTTTTCCCTTGTCTACCTAACAGGTGAAAGGAGAACCCCCTACTGATTAAACATACTAAAATTTCAGATAATCTTCTAGAACCACACATAATCAAATGAGGAATCAAATATGATCTTTACAAGAACTTCAATTAAACAATATATAAATAATTAAACAATATATGCCTACATCAAAAAATAACATTGGAAATCAAAATTATTTCCAGTTGTAAGACAAAAGAAATACAACATGGTGAGTCTGGGTGTGGTATCCCATACATATAATCCCAGCACTCAGAAGACTGAAGCAGGAGGATCATGAATTTAAAGCCAGCTTAGAGTTCATAGAGAGACCCTGTCTCAAAATAAAAATTAACTTGGTGAGATGGAGCTACAACAGAGCTTCAAGAGAAAATATGTGATACTAAAACAAAGAATGCTTAAAACTATTTCTCACTGAAGATGCTAGGAAAGGATAAATAAATTAAACAAATGGGAAAACAAGGAAGTCAAAACTTCATTCTTTGAAGAGTATTAACTTTTATAAAAATCTAACCAAACTGATTAAAAAGAGCAAAGTAACAATGATCAGTATCAGGAAAGAAAGAGGTGGTATCACTATGTATCTATAAGATATCTTATAGATACATAGTGATCTAATAAAGGAATTTATAAATAGGTATAGGCTAACAAAATTGATAATGTAAAAATTAATATATTTTTAAAAGCAGAATTTATTAAGCTTAGTAACACATAAAAATAAAAAATAAAAACCCTAACAGGTTTGTATTTAGCAAAGAAATTTAGCAAAGAAATCATCTTCACAAAGAAAATCGTAGCTCCAGATAATTTTATTGATGGTATTTATTAAATATATGATAAGTAAAAGCTGGAGGTATGGCTCAAGTGGCAAGTACTTGCCCAGTGAGCGGCAAGTCCTGCATGCAAACAATAGAACCACCAAAAAATAACAATAAGTAATACCAATCTTATATAAGTTCTTTCAGAAATAAGGACTTCTAAACTTACATTATGGTACATAAAGTTGACAGACATTAAAAGAAAATTACACACCAATTTTCATCATAAGCATACATGAAAATGTATTTTAAATTTTAGCAAATCCCATGCACTAATATATAAACAGGATAATGTATAATAAAGTCAGATTTATCCTGAAGGTATGAAGATGTACTTACTATTTCTTTTTAAAGAATGTAGTTTATCACACTAACAGAATGAAAGCATAAAAGCACCCAGCATTGCAATAAGTAGCAAAAATGTTTTTGAGAAAGTATAAAAGTTCTTCACCATTACAAACATTCACAGAAATTCAGACATGAAAAGAACATGTACAAGACTTAAAAGTAAGACATCAAACCCTTTTCTAGAGAAAGAACATGGCAAAGATGTCTACCATCGCCATTTCCACACATTATGTAACAACATCAAAAACATAACATTGATGTGGTATAAAAGAAAACCTACATTAATAGATGCTTCAATATTGCTAAGATGTCCATTTATCCTAGACTTCATAAATCAATTACAATCCCCATTAAAATTCCCAAAGTCTTTATTGAAGTCATAGGTAAGTTGATTGTAAAATTTACACAAAATGTATGAGTTGACAATGTCCTAAGCACTGCTGACAAAAACAAGAGGGAAGGGCTTATTGCCCACTTGACCTGAGGACCTAGTCTAGGGCTATGGAATTGTAAAGATACTGTACTGGCATTTGGCAATACTAAGGAATCCAAATTAGGATTACCAGTAATGGGGTGGCTGGCGTTGTGTGCCTTCTGATAAACTGCACTGAAAAGGACACACCATCACTTCTGTAGTGTTCTGGTTAAAGGTGTATAACTTAAATCTGACCATGAGGAGCACTAAGCAAACACAGATGTTGAACCATCTATCAATTAACTGACTTGAATTCTTTAGAATATTAAAGAGAAGAAAAAGAAATCTGAGGACCTGCTTCAGATTAAAGGCAATGAAACCAACTTCAATGTGTAAACCTAAATTAGAAATTGATATGGGGTGGGGGGAATTAGCTGTATTATATTAAAAATAATGATAAAATTAGAATAGGGACATAGTTGAGATATTGTGTAGTGTCTTGATTTTGATCATAAATCAATTATATATTTATATAAAAGAATGTCTTGAGCCTTAGGAAATACACATGCAAGTATTTAGAGGTAAAGGAGCATAGTATAACCCCTTATTCTGATTTAAAATAAATTTATAGTGAAAACAGCTGGCCAAAATTTCAGCAATTGCTAAATCTGGGCAGAGTATACAAGTTCTATAAAATTATTGAGGGTTTTCACTAATTTAAAATGGTATCAAAATCAAAACTATCCCCAAACAACTTACCATAGACATACTCTAATTTGGGTCAATACCTATCTCTTTATTCCTATTCTTACGGTTTATTAGCTTCCCAAAATAGGTTTTGCCCTGTTTTGACTCCATTCTTTTGGGGTTTTTTTGTTTTTTGTTTTTTTTTGTTGTTATTTTTCAGGTAAGGGGTAGGTTTACTCAGTAGACCTGCTGGGACCAGGCAAGGTTGGCCTTCCACGGGGCTGGGAAAGGCCTGGGAAAGAGAGAGAGCTGGGAAAGAGAGAGGAAAGAGAGAGAAAAGAGCTAGAAAAGAGCTAGACAAGAGCAGAGAGAGCAGAGAGAGAGTCTGGGCCTGGGCTAGACTTATCTAGGGTATGAGCGGAGAAAGGTGTGGCCACATCAAATTCAGATGTGACCTCAGCAGATGCAGATGTGACCTCTTCCAGGTGTGCTAGTTGCCTAGGTAACGCAGGTACTGGGTGGAGACTTTGCTGCAAGAAGGGTGGAGTCTGCTAGCCATCCAGGAGCTGACCTTACATTCCACCCTTTTAATAATCATGAAATAGGGTGAGGATTCTCTCTGGCTACTTCCTGCTGACAAGGGGAGTTGAAAATAGGGGTAAAAGCCTGGAATTTGGTCCCCCCCCCCCAGAAGGCAGTGAGCAGCAGCGGTCCCTTGGTGGCGTGAGTCCTTAGATGAAGTCCGGAGAAGTCTCATGAGCATTGAGGGGCTGGAAAAAAAATACTAGAGAGCAAATAAATGGCAAGAGGAAGGACTTGGGGCTGAAAATGTTGGTAGAAATGTCCCTAGCTACTTCTGACATCTGGCGACTAGGTAGAGAAGTCAGGTGACAAAGGCAAGAATATAAATTCCTGTTCAGTTAATAGGCAGACAGGTTTGGACATTGGATGGGCAGGCTTCTTACTTCTACTGACCTCCTGGCTCTGGTTAATTTTGAAAGGGCAGGCACAAAGTAGCTGATGTGACATCATCTCCTCTTACTCCTCTCCATGTTCCCTTGTTCCCCAGACTGGCTGAGTCTAGGTGCTCGTTGCTGGGATGGCTTGTCCCAGTTGATATTCAAGGAGGATTGAACTCAAGGCCTGGGCATTGTCCTTGAGCACTTCTGCTCAAGGCTAGTGCTCTACCACGTTGAGTTACAATAGCACTTCCAGTGTTTGGCTGGTTAAAGAGTCTTGAGCCATGCTTCCAGCCTGGCTCTTTGCAGGTTAGTTGGGAGATGGATTGACTGTATTCTTTATTTTACCTTATTTTAATTTTCTGCAGTAATGTGTCTTGAACTTGGCACCTAACACTTACTAGGAAGGCACTATACCAATTGAGCCACACACTCAGCCCTTTTTGCTTTTGTAATTTTTCAGATAAAGTCTCACATTTATGCCTAGGCTGACCCAGACTACAAACTTCCTATTAATATATTAATTCTCATCCCCATTTAGGAAGGAAAAAAAGAAGTCATTAATATGTATTAATATTAATACAAAGAAGGAAATTAAGGCTCAGAGAGGTTGAATGACTGTGGTTTCACTCCATGTTTCTTGACTTTCAGGTCCTTTAAGTGCCAGGAACAAACCTGTAGTTTCCCTGTTCTTCTTCCTTAAGTGATCTTCCTAACCAGCTAGTATTAATTACTTTGATGAAATTATTAATTTTAGTACGAATATATGTAAATGAAAGTGTCTCATACCATTTCAAACACATCACTTGCTCTTGATTTGATGGACTTAATATCTCCAAAATCTCCAGGAGGGAACTTTTTCAGCCATACCCAATCACCCTGGAAAGAACAGGTAGAGAATAATGATGAGACTTAGTTACCAGAAACTTGAAATTAATATCAGTTCTACAAGCCAAACAGATTTTTCTCCCTTCCACCCCACCTTCTAAACTACATAATTTCTATATTCCAAGCTAAAATGAGGTCAAACAGAAAAAGTTAAAAAATGCCAATTAACTGATGAAAACAATTTCAGGTATGCAGACCTCAGAAAAGGAATAAATAATGATATCACTCTCAGAAATGCTTTCTTTAATTAGGTGCAGAACATTCTGGGTCATTTCACTTATTCATAGCTAACTGATATAGCATTAGGTTTTCTGCAATTAATGGTGATAGTTGGAGGTTGCAATTCCCACTGCCTTGAGGCATCTGCGGTGGGAGATGTAGGGTGAGAGATGTAATGCAGCAAATGTTTCCTTCATTTTCCTTGGTCCATTTTTCTCTTGTAGGGCAGGCCATTGGCAGAGGGGCTCTTTATGCTTTACTCAAAAACTGACTGGCTTAAATGTAAATTAAGCATTATTTATTTCAATGCACAAATGCATAATGGTAATAATATAAGTAGACCTCTAAATCTATTGCCAATTTTTTTCATTCAAAACTATTTTATTGTTTAATGTTTATATGCTTATGGATCATGTTGTGATCATTTGGTACATGTATACTTGAGTATAATGATCAAATGAGTAATTAGCATTTAATCTTAACTTTGGAGATACAAAATTGCTATTTTTAAAGCTGCCATCAAATCAAAACCAATTATTTTATGGTCTTCACTTCAACATCAGTGCTGGTAGATTATTTTCTTCTATGTGCATAGCCTCAAGGATTCATCAGTCATCAAGCCTTATCTAGTTCTGCCCTACTCCAAAAATTTAAAAAGCATTATAAATATAGATTCCTTTTCCTGTGTAATAACAATAATCCCATACATTTGCACAATGCTCTTTACTGTTCAACATGTTTTCACATCTATTACCAAGAGCCTGGAGAATCCATTATAGGCTGTACCAACTTGTCATCAAGTAGAGAATCACAAAGCAGAGAGCTCTCTGCAATCAAATTCTAGGAATAAGAAAGAGTAACTACTCTTATTGGGGAACATATCCAACTGGAAAAGCAAAACTGGAAATCTGCCAGAGGCAAAAGCTAATGGGTGCTATGGGCATCTGAGTAACTCTCGCCCATTCTGTGTTAGGAAGAATCTTCTAAGCCAAGAAGCTCAAAGCTGTTAAGCTAGGGAATGGCTCCAAGAGACCTTCAGCAGCAGAATGAAAATACACAAGCCAAGCTCACTGCCCACAGAGATCAGACGACCAGTCTCTGATTAGTATCTGCTGCAGAATGATTGAAGCATTTGAGCCAGCAGTTCCCCAAGAATGCTCCTATTCCAGCCATATCAGTGCCACATGGAAACTGGTTAGAAAGACCAAAAGTGAAGTCCCAAACAACATTTATGGAATCACAAATTCTGGGGATGACGCTAGAAATTTGAGTTTTACTAAGTCTTCCAGGTGATGTTGATACATGTCCAATCTAAGACCTAACACCAGACTTTCCCCATGCCTCATGTCCGCCTCTACATCCTTCACTCATACTCTCCCTTGTTCACCACACTAAGTTTTTCTTATAGCCAGCTCTGCAGTCAGCCAGAGACCTAAAACTGACTCATAGAAGACAGAAGAGACTGACACCAATTTGGCATTTTACCAGTCAGAGGACTTTCTCCTGTACAGAGATCAGAGGCTGTCTTAAGCTGAACAAATAAAATTCTATCTGGGATTCTACAAATATCAGCTAATGTATCAAAAATACTGATGGACAAAACTATCTTCCCTCAGCATTAGCAACTGTGTTACTCCACCAACAGCCAGTACTACGCACTATGGTACCTTAGTGCTTGTCAGAAAAGGGCATTTTCTGCAAGAACAATTGTTATGGGAGTATATTGGGTACCCTTATGATATTAGACAACATACACACATGCATGTTATACATTCGCATGTATTCACATACACCCCAGAGCACATTCTATCAGCAACAAGATGCTTTGCACATCACCAGATTCTGGATCTTTGGAGTCAGGATATAATTGCCAAAGAAAGATGCTACACTTGGGACTCTTGAGAATATGAGGTAGGAAGGAGAGGCAACCTCAAGGATCTTCTGGGGTTTAGTGAAGATCATGCATAACTATGTTCACATGTATTTTCCCCTAACTGTATATGTGCATAGTCTGCTATGCTGATTGATTTAGATGGTAGAAGACTCTGCACTCTACCCTATTCCAAAACCAGTCTGAGGGGGGCATAATTCTGTTCCTGCATGTACATAACTCTCATTTAATTTAGGATAATTCTTCACTATGAATAGAAGCCTGTTCTCAGATGTGGTAGCTTTATGCAGAGTACAACCTAAATATCATTGTTAGAAGCCCTAACTTACCTGATACATTCTGATATGTAATATGGCCTTTGTGGAGTTAGTCCTACTGCAGCCTTCCTTCTTGATTATTAATTACCTACCACTGGTAGCTAAGAATAGCTTTTCCCTGCCAATTCACTAAATTTGACAATTGGACTGGGCCTTAATGTATCCCTGACTCAATTCCTTCATATTTGTATAAAGAAACAGACTTTTCCAAGACTGGCTTGCCTAAGTTCAGAAGCAGAGGCAGATCTGAATCATGGTCTTCTGTCTCCTAGTTTGTTGTTTTTCCCATTATGGATTTGAGGGGTATTTGAAATTTCTCACAAAATTTGTAATCAAGTTTTTATTAAGTCTATGTGCATCCTATTTCCTGAATAATGATGAAAACAGAGGAAATGGGCAAGTTTTATCTTCACCACGCCTGCACTATTTGTTTTGTTCTCTTCTTTTAAAGGAGAATGATATAATACTTCATCCATCATTCACTTTTTAATTAAGAGAAGGAAAAAATCAAACTATTCAGTAAATTTTCAGAAGTAATTTAAAGTTCATCAGGTTTGTATTTAGGACACTATGTGTTAACTTAAAAGCAAGAGAACAAAATCCCTAGGACATGGCTTTGCTTCAGTCTCAATGGTAGCCTTACTACCTCCCCTTCAGCTGGAGCTCTAAGCAGGACTTACTTAATGCGTTCTTTGTTATTTTTCATTTTTTCTAATCAATGATTCCATGATAAGTAAGAGAAGATGGTCAGTAGAAGTGAGAGGGGGAGAGAGCTCTATACATGATAAAGCAGTTGGGGAGACAGGAAAAGGGTTCTTAGAAAGGGAGGTGAGTGGAAAAAAAGAAAGGTGAGATAAAAAGGAAAACAAGAGGAACCTGGGAGGCAAGAGTCAGAAAACAAAAAATGAAGAGGAAGCAGTGGGTTCTTCCCAAGTATATGAATTAGAGCCAGGCACCAGTGGCTCACACCTGTAATCCTAGCTACTCAGGACGCTGAGATCTGAGAATCAAGGTTCAAAGCCAACCTGGGCAGGAAAATCCTTGGGACTCTTATCTCCACTTAACAACCAGAAAACCTGAAGTCGCACTGTGGCTCAAGTGGTAGCATGCTTGCCTTGAGCTGAAGAGCTGAGGGACAGCGCCTAGGCCCAGAGTTCAAGCCCCACAAATGACAAAACAAAAGAATCAGACTACTTCTCATTCCTCTTCCATTCCCCTACGGTTGCTAAAACAATCATGACATGTCTCCCATTGCATCTGTCATCACAGCTCCTTCAGCATATCTGGCTTTCACTTCCATATTTCAAAGAATATCTCTAAAAGGGATAATTTTGTCTTTCACTTTGAAAATTACGTCTCTGTGTATACAATCAGGTAAATTTGTAGTACAACTACAAAAGCCTGTCTTTTTTTTGCTTTTGGGTATCTAATACACTTAACCTTATCTGGCACATAAACTGGAAATTCCAGGACTTCCAAAAGTAATTCTTATAAAAATATGACTTACTTAAAACAGAATGTAGAGAAAGAGTCTTCTAAATAGATCACCACTTAAGATACACTGGACTTCTTTTATCAGTCTTCTTTAGCCTTAGCCAGTAGTATTCTAGCTTCGTCTGTCCCTTTATCCCTGTACTCCACTTAATCTTGACTATACTGTGCAGTATTATTCAAACATCATCCTTTTTAAGGAAAAATGTCCTCCCACTCATCATGTGACTGACAACAGTCATTCTGGGAACTCACTCAGAATCCTGCCTTCTTCTAAAAATAAGAAAATAATTGACAATGTCTTAAAGGCCAGTTTCATACAAGTGTTTTTCTTTTCCCTTCTCAATTCTACACTTAAATCTTCAAACACCACCAAATAAAACATACCACAACTCTTAAACACTTAAATTCTTCCATAGAATCAAAGAATATAGCATATGCATGCCAGAAGTGGCATTAGAGGTCTGAGTGGACCAATTATCAAGCCTGGATGCACATATTAAGGGACTTTAATACCAATACCTGGGCCCTGCTTCATACCAACTAAACCAGAATTTCAAGGAAAGGCAGCCTAGAGGTAAGTATATTTTAATTTTGCTAAGGAGATTCTAATAAACACTCAGGATTAAGAACTTGCTTCAAACCTTTGTTTTACAGATGAAAAAAATCAAGGCTATTGATACATACTTCTAAATCTTAGAAGAATTGATATAATTATAAATCCATCAGCCCATCCATTTGACATTCTGAAGTTATTTGATTACCTTCTCTTCAGTTTTTGAAAGACTAGAGCTGCCTGTTTACCAAAAACATACAATTGAAAAACTTCTCCTCTTTGATAAAATTAAATCCAAGGTAAGATCTAGAAGCTTTCTGATTCAAATTTAAGCCAAAGTCCTCAAGTATACTGAAAAAATATGCCATGACATTCTTGGTATGTAGGCCCATCTTAGTCCATTTGTGTAGTACTGGGTAATTTTTCAAGAACAGGCATTCATTTCTCATAGTTCTAGAGGGTGCAGAATCCAAGAGCAGGAGACAACAGGTTTTGTAGGAGCTGTTGTCTATTTCCAAGATGGCACATTGTTTTTGGGTCTTCTAAAGAGAATTTTGAGTCCTCACATGGAAGAAAGTAGAAGAACAAGGTAATCAAGTGTTGTGTGAGGCTCCTTTAACCTTTTCTTGAGAGAGGAACACCTTTTCAAAGCTTCATCTCTTAATATTATCACATTGATCATTAAATTATAACAACTGAATTTTGGAAGTGATAGTTTCAAACCAGAGCAAGGCCACTGTGAATTATTTTTCCAACAGAAAAGAATACTCACTTGGAAAATACAATGTGGTTAACAATCTAAAAACTCATTCCTCCTTGTTTAGAATTTTCTTTGTACTTAATGTTAAAGTTGAGAGTGTTTGCTGCTCTTGGGAGTATCTTCAAACAAACGAAAGAAACCACACTGGGAAGGCCTCACTTAGGAGGGACAAGACAGCCTAGTTTCCCTTTTACCCCCTGCTTAACTCTTTCCTGCTGAGAAGAAACAGTTCATCTCTCCAACTGATGCAAGATTTGTTCTAGTTGCCAAATTCCAATATCTTACAACAGAGGTAGGGTCTGACCTCGTAAATCTTGAGAAACAGAAACTTTAGTCAAAAAAGGCTTTCTATTTTATGCAATTGAAAATAATCTATTACTCCAAAAGGCGGTACAGGTGAAGGAAAATAATTGTTTCAATGACACCAGCAGATAATAAGCATGGGAACAACAAGTAGACTCAGAAGAAAAAAAAATAACAAAACCCTTCCCAGCCTGTTTATATCTGGGTATTTCATCCCAAACAAGAGGCTCGAGTCATTTCTTTCTCTATTATAGTCTTTTAATTTTTTTATTACATATATTTTTGTGGGAATAGTGGCATGTGCTAATGTTTGAGTCTTTTTCCAAATACATAATAAATACATGGAGTTAAAATATTGATGAGGTTATAAGTAAGTGGATTAGTTGTAGAGGAAACACATTGTCAAAAATGTCAACCAACCTGGTGGCTCATGCCTGTAATCCTAGCTACTTAGGAGGCTGAGATATGAGGATTGTGGTTCAAAGCCAGCCACAGCAGCAAAGTCCATGAGACCCTTATCTCCAATAAACTACTCAGAAAAAGGCCAGAATGGCACTATGGCTCAAATGATAGAACACCATCCTTGAGTAAAAGAAGCTCAGGGACAGCGCCTGGGCCCTGAGGTCAAACCCAAGTACTAGGACACACAAAAAGACCATGTCTGTAACTGAATACCAACAAAAAACTGGACTTACCAAAAGTCTTGATTTTCACCCAAAGCCTAATTCCTAAATCACTGCCTTATTTTAAAATGCAAGAAAGCAATACATTAGATAACTGTTGGATGGACTACCTCATAGATTGCTATGTTGGAGTTTTCATAAGTCGCTGGAGTTAGACTCCCTGAAGAAAAGGAAAGCCTTGGTGACCTCCCACTTTGGACCTCTGAGATGATCTGGAAGCTTACACTGGCACGACTTCCTCTCTGTGAAAAGATTAAGGGGGGAAAGTTTATGAACAAAGTTCTCATGAATTAAAACAGAATATTGAACTATAGTATAAATTTTGTGGTTATTTGGTTTTTTTCTGCAATTTTTTCTTAAGAATGCAACTCTGTAAACATGAGATTGATTAAACTTCTCTGTCCTTTAGAACTCTTTCTTAGTTTGTGGTTGGTACCTTGCTTGTCGGAAGACAACCTACCACCAAGAAAAGATAAAGCTTTGTAGGTACATTTATCTCCCAGACAGAATTTTAATCATAGGCATGAAAGACTACAAACCTAGGCAGAAAAACGTGAAACGAGTTTTACAATATCATATAGTCAATAGATTTGTTGCAAGAAACATTGTTTACAAATGCTGACCCTTTTAATAGAAATAATATAGAATTCCATTCATATGACTGACTCTCAATAATGACTCTTACTGTTATACTAAGTCAGTTGGCATCCTTCTTGGTGCACATAAAACTAGTGTCTCACTTAACAAGCACTAAGATAGTAAAGAGTGAACAGATCATCTGCCCATGATTTATGTATCTGATGCTTATATAGGATAATTTTTTTATTCTTTGATTATTAACTGTACACATAGCCTGCTAAGAATGCCAGGAGCTTCATAGTTGGATGACAAGATGAAAAGTTATCTCCAATCTATGTTAACCTTTAAAATTGAACTTCTACACATTCAACTGAACTAGTAGACTTATTTCACATGAAGACATAATAAATCAAAAGGTTCTTCAAAATTATTTTCCATATTTCTAGAAATGGCTTTTTAGAGTAAGAATGTTGAAAGGGTGACATTGATCAAGATGCATTATATTTATGAAGTGCTTTGTTAAATGGTAACTCCTTTGTACAATTAAAGATCATAAAAATAATAAATAAATAATTTACAGAAAAATTGTGATTCTGAACAGACAGACACATTTGGTATTTTCTAGGCCAGGCCTCACCTCCAACTCTAACGTTCTCATTTTTATAATGAGTAACTGATTCCTACAGAAATATATTTGAGCTGAAACAAGAATCTTGTCACTATATTTCCTGGTCCTATGTTCTTTCTACAAAGTCATGCCAGTGAAAATTACTCTTAAACTGGGCTCTCGTGGCTCACGCCTGTAATCCTAGCTACTCAGGAGGCTGAGATCTGAGGATCATGGTTCAAAGCCAGCGAGGGCAAGGAAGTCCATGAGACTCATCTCCAATTAACTACCAGAAAACCAGAAGTGGTGCTGTGGCTCAAGTGGTAGAGTGGTCGACTTGAGCTGAGGAGCTGAGGGACAATACCCAGGCCCAGAGTTCAAGCCCCACAACCAACAACAACAACAAAAATAACCTTAAATACTTTCTAATACTTTTCCATAATAGCCTTTGTTTAACTGATGATCGCTAGTTGACTTAGTCCTGAGGTAAGCTCCTTCTCAAGCACCAAGACTATCACAATTGAAGTTGAATAATAATGATAGTTTTAATGATAAACTATATTCTGTCCCCTGTTCTGCAATCTCAATAGCACAAGATTCAGACAAGATGTAAAATTTGACTCTTCACATAACCCTTGCATCAACCTGAACCATCTCCAGCAGTGTAAGGCCACTGGGGAATCTACTTCCCTTTCATTCTTTATTTTCCTATCTCAGCAGGCGTACCTAGATCTGTAAATGGAGACCTGGACCTCTGTATGATGGACAAAGGAGAAAGACATAGAATCTGCCAAAATCCACATATGTTTGGACTTCAGATTCACTTTCTTTTAAAAACTTCCTTTCCTGATTTGACTTCTCCTGACCTGCCAAGTTTTCTAGACTGAATTAATTTTATATTCTCCTAGAGTTTACACATTCAAACAGTCCTTTCAGATGGAATTCTTGGCTTGGCGTTTTGACTGATTAGACAGAGCCAGCTGTAAGTTTGTGACTACACAGAAATTAAAGACAATATATATACTTCCCCTATCTTTTCTAATCAGAATCTCTGATAGAAGCCAAATGGCAAATGGATCTAGAGGATGAGATCTATGTTTTTCTAGGGCAATGCCAATCTTTTCCAAGTGGGCCAAGATATTAAAACAAACAAAAACATTCCCTATAAGTCTATCAATCTTTGCTGCTATTTGTTTTTCTCACCCCATGATGAAAAGTGGTGACAATCTCTTTTTATTCTCAATAAATCAAACTTACGCATAAGTGAAAAGGAAAAGGTCTGTCATTATAAGCAAGATTTTAAAACCCTAGGCTCTCTTATCGGAAGATAGCATTCTATATATGGGGAATACATGAAAACTGACATTGTTTAGACCCCCACACACATACCATTTTTGTGTGAGTTCAAAAGAGAGGAGGTAGAGGGAGGTATGATAGGCTTCACTGGACTAAATGCAAAGAAAAGGCTTATTAAGTCCAAAATTGAGCTATGTTTATTGTTTTGAAATTTTAGAGCCAAACATAAAGACAATTGACATGAACTGTCATTTTTTCATATGGATAACACCAGAGAAATGGTGTTATTTTTGCCAGTCCTAGAGCTTGAACTCAAGGCCTGGCACTGTCACTAAGTTTCTTTTGCTCAAGGTTAGCACTCTACCACTTGAGTCACAGCACTACTTCCAGCTTTATCTATTTATGTGGTACTGAGGAATCAAACTCAGGGCTTCATGCATGATAGGCAAGCACTCTACCAATAAGCCATAGTCCTAGCCCCAGAAATAGGGATTTTTAAGAATAGGTTCCATTTTGGCCACAACTTTACTATATTTTGCTATATTTAAACAATGTTTTTTTTACATAGAATTGAATGCATTTTTCTCAGCATTGATCTTAGTATTGGGATAGCTTCACAGCTTAGATTTCAGCATCGGTACTTTCTACTACTTTGAGATAGGAAACTTCATACAGGGCATATTGAATTTGGTAAATCCAGACAAATTCTGCAACCATGAGAACTAGAGTACTCTAGTAATTTAAAAAATGAAGACTCTAAGTTTTATGGCATGAGGGTGGAGTACATCTTCCAGACATAGGGATAGTTTGGGCTTCCAGCAATATATTTCCAGGAACATGGTATCCTTGTTACAAAAATCATTAGATGATTTAAACAAGAATTAGGGTGTACATGGAAATTAAATGAAGTGGTTGAACAATTAAATTGACTCCAACTGCATGAATATTACTATGTAAATCCATTCTCACTCAGCCAACTAATTAAATATACTTTTAAGTGTCAGATTTAAGCAAATGACCAGTTCAGTCACTGAGATAATTAATTCTCAAACCTGGTATAGTGGTATAGCAACAATTAATGGAACATGGAGACTTTTGACACGCTTAGGTCCTCTCTATATCTTGACACCACTACATAATAGTTTCCAAAGACTACTGTCATTACTGTAGCCACACAGACTGGCATAAGAAAACATGGGAATACTTTCTCTCACATCATTTTTTATGCTTCTGTTTATGAGATTTTCTCTATCTAGGGTGCTTAGAAGAAAAGAAGATAATTAAAACAGATGAAATAAGCTGTGTCTGAGACAATGCAGAGTGATGTGAACTGTATCAAACTTCAGAGAGAAAACATGCTTCTTCCAAAAATGGCAAGTACCACTGAGTTTTGGCCAATTGCCATGATTAGACACAATATTTTTAAATGCTATGTTTTAAAAATATATCCAAATAGTTTTTTAAAAAATATTGGCCAATAATAATTACACATCTTTATGGGGTACAATATGATAGTTTGGTATATTTATACATTTTTTATTGATCAACTTAAGATACTTAGGTTATTTATTATGTAAACCATTTATCATTAGTTGTGATGAGAGCATTCAACATTTTCTCTTCTAGCTATTTTGGATTATATGCTACTACATTGTTATCTATAACCATCCTCATGTAACAGACACATGGAAATCACAACTTTTAAAAAAAAGTTTTTTGTGTATAATTTAAAATTTTTAAAATTCTGGCTATTTTTATATAAACTCTCAGGATGCAAAAGAAAGTGAAAACTAGTTTTGGGTTTTTTTTTGTTTTTTGGGGGGGGGAGGTCGGGTCGTGGGGCCTGAACTCGGCCTAGGCACTGTCCCTCAGCTCTTCAGCTCAAGGCTAGCATTCTACCACTTGAGCCACAGCACCACTTCCAGTTTTTTTTCTGCTTATGTGGTGCTGAGGAATCGAACCCAGAGCCTCATGCATGCAAGGCAAGCACTCTACCACTGAGCCACCTTCCTAGACCGTGAAAACTAGATTTTAACCTGAGTTTCCATCCTTCTTTCTTTAAAACTCGGCTTCAATTCTGGAGCTCTAAAAAGCCTCATTCCACTGACCTGCCTCCTTGGAAGTACTACTGTATTGCAAGCTTCTTTTGTGTATTATGATGCCTATGAACTCTTTTTTGTTATATGATTTGTCTCTCTAATCTGACTGTAATCCCCTTGAAGGCAAGGAACACATGCCATCTCTCACAAATCGTAACCTAAAGCTGGGACATAGTAGCCAGCCCTTAATAGTGATCACGTATTACAGTATAAACAGATTTTTTTTGAAATTCAAACCTCTTTTGTTCATTGATTCATTCATCAAATTTTACAATTATCTTCTCTACTGTAAGCACCATGTCAGGTACCATTCATTAATATTAAAAAAGTATCTCTGCCTTTGAGAAACTAACAATCAGATGTTAATATATAAACAAGTGCTACATGAAGTCATAGCTAAAGTATTGCCTAAAGTACACTGAAATTATTTCCACAACATGGTTCTAAGTCAGTTATATAATTGAAAAGTAACATGAGTTATATATTTAATTTTAGTTGACAATGATCATACATAGTTATATGACATAGTGTGATAATTCAGCATATAAATAATCTTAATGACAAAAATCAAGAAGATTAGCATTTCCATCTCCTAATCATGAATTGCTTATGTTGATAAACTTTAAAAACTGCCTTCTTTTAGTTCTTTATAGAACATATAATAACTCATTATACGTTATTGTAAAATATGTTCATCTCACTGACATATAAAACACTGGAAATTTTCCTCCTACGTATAACTGGACCTATTATCTAAGCTTCTTCTATCTCATTCTCTTCTTCCCCTTCTTAGATTCTAGTTACTATAATTCTGCTCTCTGGTTCTTTGATTGGATTCCACATATTAATAAGATCATGTGGCACTTGTCTTTCTCTGCCTGGCCTATATCCTTAGCCTAATGTCCTCCAGTTCTATCTATATTGAAGTGAATGGAAATATTTTATTCTTTGTTATAGCTTTTGTGTCTAACTTGACTGTAAACTCCTTGAAAGCAAGGGAAAGAAAAATGCTCATAGAATTATGTATTACATTTTAAGCACCTTTACTATCATGTTTAAAAACATGAAAAATACAACTCTAACTCAACATATATAGTGTGTTATTCTGGCATACAAATATTTTTTCTAAATTTTAATGAGATATTTCACCTGTTTTGTTGTAAGTCTTCTAAGTCCTGTGTGTGTTTTGCTTTTGCAGCATATTACAATTCAGATTAGCTATATGTCAAATGCTAAATAGCCATTTGTTGCTTGCTGCTACCATATTGGACATGGCAAAAAGAAAAGAATCTTTTTCTTACCTTACTGCCAAAGTGGGGGTTAATAAATGTCACATCCTCCAAAGTCAGTAGAATTCTGTTGGGTCCTTTAATCAACTGGATTTTATTTATCCGACGCCTGGAACAAGCATGAAATCAGAGGCTCACAGGGGCCTGGGTGTTTTTGCAAAGCCAGGGATGGTTTGCCCTAGATAGTAGCTAAAGAATTTACAAGATAATTGGGAGGAAACCACACATAGATTTGTACCATAAACCTGCAGCAAAGGGAGGCAACAATGATAGGCCTCACAACTTGCAGGTTTGCAGATATCAAAAGAAAAGAAGAAAAAAATAAGCTTGAGGCATCAAAAAAAAGGGTTTGAGGGCAGCACAAGAAGATGTCATTTTAGACTAATAAAATGCTGACCCCACATCAAGAGCACGTGGAAAACATTTAAATTATTCAATTTAAATAATTGAATAATTATTTACTAATTGAATAATTTGAATAATTGAATCATTTAAAATAATTCAATATACTTTCTCATTTAGCACTGTAATCATCCTAATATTGTCAAGGCCAAGAATCATTAATCTTCACTTTATAGACAAAACCACATTAAGGAAACAAAACAAAATTAAGCAAATTGTGTGAGATCCCCTAGCCTTAGGCAGAATTGGAACTTGAATCCTTGGTCCCTGGCTGTAGGCCCAGATTTCTACCCATAAGACCACTTGTCTTACAAAGTTGTATCTATGTGTTGCCAAAGCAACAGGTTGAAAAGTGGAAAAATTCAGTAAGTTGGTTTTTTTGTCTACATGATTCCAAACAAGAGGGCTGACTGAGGTTTTATTTTCCCCTTTTGCTGAATTGGTGACACAAGAGACACAATTTAAACATGCTCTTCTCCAAACATGCCCATTAATTTGCTATGAATATAATTATTTTCTACAAATCAATTACTAGCCATATAGGAGTTTATGATGTCTACCCACAAAGTCAGGTGGGTCTTACCCAGATAATTTGAAGACCTGCAGGTAAGTTTGGATTAGTCAGTGTGCATATTTTATTCTTTTTTGTTCTGGGAACTTGGACATTTTGGCTTTGTTTGTTCTGTAACTCCATAATGGTCAGCCTCTTTCCCCACGAGCCAGAGTGGGGAAAACAACTGCTGAATCAAAATGTTTTGTCAACTTTGTTCTAAGGAGAAATCTATAATGCCACTGTATCTTTAAGTACCAACAATCCAGTCAATTTTTCTCAGTGACTTCTCTGGTTTATAAACAAACAATTAATGTGTTTCTAATTGTCTGCCAACAAATATGTCCCTTATCACGGTGGGAGCTGCTGCCCTGCAGAGAAAATTAAAAGAGCCCTGTAGCGAATTCTTGGGTAGAGTGTATGAATCTTTTGGCAAAGTAAAACATCACTCTCCCTAACTTATCTGTTTCATATGCGAAGAAAATTGTCTTAAAGCAGGCACACCTGCAAAAATAATCATGCAACAAAATAGAATCTAGCAGAAAGCAAATTGGATGGACTCCCAATCCAGAGACCTGGGGGGCAGTGCTGATCCTGTCATTAATTAGCCAGGTGCAAGTGACCTTGGATAAATAATTTAACCTCTTCATGCCTCAGTGTCTTCTATCTGGCAGGATAATAGTCCTTGCATTACCCGCTTTATAGAGTTGTTTTGAAAATCAAATGAGATAATGTATGTGAAAGTGCTCTGAAAAGCGTGAAGCACTATGAAAGTATAAGGGCTCATTATTATCATTATCATCATTAGTATTACAAAGCACGGGAGAGCTTTATAGACAGGCAATGCAATCTGGTTCAGAGGAGTAGGGAGAAAAGAGGAGTTCAAAGAATCCTTTGTTTTGGGGTGGTTGGGTTCCTTGCACATCTTTCTCTCTGGAAAAAAAAACCTTAAACAATCAAAACACAGAAAAGGAAGGAACAGAGAGTCACTCTCCTGCAAGTAATCACCATCTATTACAGAAACTCATCAGCCACTCAGCTCTTCTGATTGCAGCCATGGTGGGCAGAGACAGGGAGGAAGGCAGCAAAGAGCGGGCATCTTTTGTGCTTTGCTAGCTGAAGAACCAGGGACCAAGTGACTCTGGGAAATGATGTGCCTCTCTTCCATCTCTGAGTTTTCTGTGACCACTTGAAGTACCAATTGTCTCAAACTCATTTTCCTCTCCAATCATTTTCCTCTCTAATCATGTCCCTCTCCAATCATTTTCCTCTCCAGTCTTCTTTGCCCTTCAACCCACAAACTCCAAACAAAACCCCCACCCCCATAGGTTTTTTTTTTCTTTTTTCTTCCTTGTGCTTGCTGAAAGCCTAAAGAACCAGTCCATTCAGTGGAAAAGATCAGCAAGGACTATTATTTGCAGGGATTGACTAGTAATGTAAGCAGCTGAGTGAGACTCCATTTTTTTCCACTTTGTCATAGGATATTCTGACATTCCTCCTCAGGGGAGTGGACTGTCATTTATTTTTGCTAATTATCCACGGATATTAAATATTTTATTCCTATTGGTAGCTAAATTAAATGTTATTAAATAGATATTCTTATCAGGTTTATGTTATAGTCACTGAAATTAGACAAAAAAACAACAACAAACTTCCATTTGACTACAAGTATTCATCAAATATATTTTTAACAATTCAAAAGCTGACAACTACTCTGTGGTTTTATCAAGTTTCTAATACTAGGGAGACTGGATAATAGTTTGCATAGTGATAGCAGCACAGTAAACACTAAGGATAACACTTGTTATTATTTCAATCCAGAGCTGAAAGGGTTCTTAAGTATCATCTAATCCAATTCCTTCATTGTATTAATAAAAATATTCTGGTCATCAAGAGAGTTAAGTGGCTTTTCCAAGTTGGTGCAAATATTTAATATACTACAGGTATTTTTCTTAAGGTAATAATATGTCAGACAGGTATTAGAATATGTTCTCCAGTTACTTTAGTTATTTTATCTCTACTGCAGTCCTATGAGTTAGTACCACTATATGTAAAGCTTGGATTCTCTGGGACTCATTAAAATATTCCAACTCCATCCCCTACCACACCATTTGGGGAAGGAGGTAGTTAGAAGGCACACTGCCAAGGGAAAAAAGGAGTATAGGTAGGGAGTAAACAGGTCTGAAAGTACTAGTTCTCCTATTTCCCCATTGTGTTTCTACACAGGCAAGGACACTGACAACACAGCTTGGGAAGTTATTCTTGGCATCATAAAAACACTTCACTCTAAGTGGGACCTGTAGGGATGGAAAAGAAAATCAGTAGGTCATGTAATGAGGCAATTGTACTGAAACATGACTTCCTGGAAATCAATATTAACAAGGCTATTATGGGCTTGTATTTTGTATATACAAAAAGAACCCAAAATGTACCTTATAAAGTAAGCAAATCCAGTAATAGACAGCAAGGCTAGCAGCAAAGCAAGGCAGACCATGATGGCAAAGGCGGGGTCGATGCCTGCAGAGAGGAAGAGGAAGAGGAAGAATGGCATTATTAGAGAAAAGCAGTAAATAAAGGGCACCACAGAGCGACTCCTCATGCTTTCTGGTGACTCTAAAATCAAGCCACATCTACCTAGCCTAATTCCATTTTTCTACAGCACAGTCTGTCTTGTTGACTTTATGGACACAGAAAGCAATTCACTGTTCTAAAGCAAAACCACTCACCACTCCGACAATAACAAATCACATGAATTAAGACTGACCAGGGTGCTTCTTTGGAGAAAAAAAAAGTCTACAAATGGAAAACTTTGAGTATCTTAATTTAAGTTGGACAGCAATAGAGTTCTTGAGAGGAAAAAAGTATGTTATCTCACCTGTGAAGGGTGAGTACTGCATTGCCTTCATAAAATAAAAGACCTTTATAATTCTTCAGAGCCCACAGACCTCATGGTTTTATAGATGAAACTGTGGTACACTTCCTTCAGGGGTGAGGACGACTGCTTTGAATAATTATGTTTTCAACACATGTAAATTATTCTCTATATAAGATAAATATTTGAATAGGTTACTAGGGAAATATATGAAGTATGAGTGAATAGGTGGTTGGGTAGGATATGTTAAAGCAAAATACAAATCAAAGCCTATTTTGAATATATGCATTTGGGTTGGGAAAGAGGTAGTGCAAACTTGCATAAGAGTAACATGGGCCACTCCAAAGGTACCCTCTGGCGCTCAGAAATTTGATTGACTCCTACTAGTCAATCAAACTGCAAGTATTTACTGGATGCCTGTTGTTTTGAGCAGTTGGAGGATCATAAGAATTATTACTTATAGTACCTGCCCTCAGGGAGCAGTATATTTGGGAAATGGAGAGCCACCAGTACACAAGAAACAATTGAAAAGCAATTTTGTGCTAAGCTGTGAGGCATGGACTTTTACTGCAATGGGAATTCAGAGAGGAGATGGTGTTAAATATGCTATTTCTGTTGTAAGACCAGACTGACAGCAAAGTCAGGTTCAAAGAAGCTGTTCAAGGAACAGATAAGTGATCTAGCAAGAGACAATCATGGGTCACAGCTACAAACGATCAAGGAAAAGGCAAATTCTTTCCTCATATTAGATTAACCTGTTAGAGAAAGCGTGAGATCCTTTCAAAAATGAATGATGGAGAGACTTTTAAATTGTAGATGATTATTTCTGGCTGGAAAGTCCCTTTTGTTGTCCTTATTTTAATTAAGAAGATAAAGTACCAAGATATTTACACCACCTGACTGCAAAAGCATTTCTTTATGATGGTTGCAATATTAAAAATAGGCCTTGTCTTATAGCGGTAGCTAGTAACCCAAGCTAATTTAAATTGACTACCAGTGATTTTCCATTCCTTACCTCCTCGGCAGATCTTCCCTTCTGCAAACCAGCATTTTGCATCTGCACTAGGGGGCCTGCCACCAGGGAAGTGAATAGGGGTCCCTCTGAACCGTAGCAGCTCCATTTCCATGTCCACAGTGTAGGTGCTATAGAGTTCCCATTCTTTCCAGTTGGTGTCCAGGATTACATATTCTGAAATGCCATTTCCATTTGAATCTGTTCTTATTAACTGGTTGAATCCATAGAATTGCAAGTTTCTGGAATGCTGAACCAGGCTGCCAGCACTTGCCTGTCCATTTTCTTTCATCGCATGATCCATGGCTTGTGCGATAAAGTAGATGGAATTGAAGATGGTTCCAAACAACGGGGAGACCTAGTTTTAAAATTATTTACAATTATCTTGAGCCCTAGCTGTACTAGAGCTATCTCAGAGTATATTCCAAGCCTGTGTTCATTCTTATGTGCTGTACGTCTGAATGGAGTAAAGCTTTGAAGACCCGGAGGAAAAAAGAATGTTTCTGAGGACTTGGTTTCTCGCCTGAATTTTTCTGCTTTTCTCCCCCAGGCCTTCACATCTTTAAATATATCAAATATGACAATTTTATGGGCAAACCAAGTCATACATAATATATTTTTATGTTACTAAACTAAGAAAGTGATTTAGGGTTATAAAGGACACTAAAAAACAACAAACATGGAATAGACAAGAGGAGTTCAGAGAAACATTACCAGGTTAATTATGGGTGCATTATGCATGGCACAATCATTTGGCTGCCAGCATCAAAGTGGTAGGTATGTGTGGAAATACTGTAACTAGTGGGTCTCCACATCAGATATATCTGTCTTGTTTTACTTCAAAATGTCTGTTCTCCTAGGCACATGCTCCCCAGAGAAAGTGAACACTAGAATCCAATTTTAAACACATACACATATAGATACCAATGTTAGAGTGCATAAATAATGGGGGTTTTAATAAGAAAAAAACCCTATATTCTATTAGTGTGCTGAGTAGCACTAGGGAGAAGCCACTGTAAACTAACAAGACTGCTAAGTAGACTGCATGGATATTCCTGCTCAATAAGTACAGGAAAAGTCAGAATATTTGTACACTATGCCTCATGCACTGCTCATTAACATCATGACATATCTTGGTCCAAACTTTGTCTTTTGTTCCTAAAAGTACAAACGAAAGTCAATCTTCTTTCCTCTGAAACCCCTCCCCATCAAATATATACAGTCATAGCATCATATATGATTCTATAATATTCACTTCTAGTATGGAGTTCAAAAAGGCTATGGTGAGGGAATTTTTACCAAGCTTCAAGAAAAGTTGATATTTACTACTTTTGCTTCAATCTAGAAAGCTAATCTCCTACCTGTGAGGAAAAAAAATAGAAATTGAAAATTGAGTAAGCGGTTTTTGTATTCGAAATCCAAGTGAAGGCGTAGAGAGATGTAATAGCTAGCAATACTTTCATGCCTTGTTAATGTAGAGCAGGGTTTCCTCTGCCCTAGCTACCTAGTAGAATTACCCAAGAAGTGTTAAAAGCATCAACGTCAAACCTAACCCACACAACAGAATGAGACATGTTAAGTATGGGATCTAGCAATCATTATTATAAGTTTGATAAGGATTCTAATACTTGCTTGAGAGTTCAAAACCAGTGGTATGGAAATTGGCATAATGGCCTGTGGTCTGTTCCTAGGGTTTTAATGTCTGAGCAAGTCATTTGCCATGTCTCTCAGAGTTTCAGTTTTTCCCACTTAGGGTACAGAATTGTGAATATCTAAATCTTGTAAGTTATCTGGTCTATAGCTATAGATAGCAAAAAGAGGTTCAGATAAATCAAGTAATCTGTCAAATGCACTCGTCTCCAGGTCTCCTTGTTTTAAGCTGCTCATTCTGGACTGAGGTATATGTTCTCTGTGATTGTTTATAGTTCTGAATTCTGAAAATTCCTAATCCTTCTTCTAGTCCTGGGACCAAATTTAGCATGCAGACATTTCTTTTGTTTGGCCTACATCTATCCTTCTGACCTCATAATATTGAAGTGCTCCAAAAGTCAGTTCCTGGTCCTCTTTTCTATCTACACTCTTTCCATTAGTGGTCTTTTTGCTTTCATGGATTTTATTTATTTTTTTCCTATGGCATATTTATTCCATCTCTCTCAGATTTGTAACTCTTCAGAATGCTCACATAGCCCATTACCTACTTTGAGATTTCAATGTTAAATTTCAATATGCTCAAAATTGATGTTCATACCTAATCCTTCTGCTCCATCTACATTGCATCTTCTTACCAATTTTACCCCAAATAACAGAGATAATTACCAGCAGACCTGAAATCCATACCTCAGTCTCCTGCATTTTATTCCAATGATCTTCCTTCATCAATCTACCTGAACATGTACTGTGTGGAAATAAATCATAAATAGATAATGATACCACTAAGATATGCACACTTAGTTGCCTACCATACAATGGGGTCTCTTAAGTTTCTCCTGATTCCTCATTCTAATTGTCTTAGATTCTCCATTAGATTGTCTTTAGTATTTCCAAAAGACCTTGAATTCTTTCTGGGTTTCAGTAGGTTATAAAATGAAATAAAGGACAAAAGTAGAGTACAAAATCAGTGCTAGTAAAACAAATGAGTGGGCAAACCACAGGGCAACAAGTTCCTTAAAGCAGAGAACTGTTTTGAAAGTCACAGAATCTTTGGGGAAAGAGTCTTCATCTACATATAACCAAAAGCAAATATTGAAATTCTTAAAATCAGTACACCTGCCTATGAGTTAATTTACTTCACTGCTTTTTCAGCAGCCAACCTATACAGCCCTTTGTGCTTCAGAATGACTCCTGTTAAACTGACAATTCCCTAAGATGACAGAAACTTGAATCCTGTTCTTCAGAATTTTCTAGCCTTCTTAATGTGTTACACACACACACACACACACACACACACACACACACATACAAACACACACAACCACAAAAGTATGGTAGAAAAACAGAGCATAGTTGTAGAAACAAAATTTAGTTGCAAAAGAAAGGCTATCAAAATGGCCAACTGTTTACATAAGGGCTGAAATTTGTACTCCTCCCTTAAGCAATGGGAATTCCTCTTCCTATAAGTCAAAAGTATACTCTATGGATATCAATCACAAATGTTCTCTAGTTGCACTTGCTGAAAATAATAAGAAGGCGAAGAGATGAAAGATGGAACAAAGGAAGAAGGGATATTCCTTATAATTCTCTGCCATAACTACTCACCCAGCCCCAAAGAAGTAAAACAGAACTGGAAATGACTGTCAAGCATGACCTTCTTGACATCACACCGTAGAATGGTAAGACCTGTGATGATTCAGTCTGTCATTTTGCCTACTGTGGAGACCTGAACCTGAAGAAATGAGTGAGTTGCGAATAAATAAATAACTGAAACATAACATTGATTTTCATTTAATGACATCAGATAGCTCTACCTTGAGCATTTCAATTTTTTTTTTTTGCATTTCAAAATTTTTAAATGTTAGAGTAAGGTCCAAGCTGGAGGCAGTGATATTTGAGTTTGTTCAGTTTAATGATTCACACTGTTAAGTTGATTATCCTCAACATCGATTTACAATGCTTGAGAAAGACATAAAACTGGCTTCCAAGGAATTTTGAATCCAGAAGTGTACATTAAAACACATCAGGCTTGGAAAGCCATCACTTGAAGAACATCATTTTGGACAAAATGCCAGGTACATGCAGAAAATGAGAAACCAAAAGGTAATTGAATTTTTGTTACTAAATATGGTACCTCCAATAATGTAGGACAGCAATATTGAACAAGAGATGGATAACAGGCCATTCTACTTAATATGATGCTCATGAACACAATGGTGTTATTTTATATAGAATGGGGGACAGACAATTTTAGCCACTGTAAGCTCTGAACAATCTTTCCTGACAATCTGTCTAGTGAGCCTCTTCTGGAAATGCCCCAGCCCTAACCACATCCCTTTCAGCTTAACAATACCCCACTAGGCACCATATTTAGGATAATAGAAAACAATAAGAGTAAGGAGTGTGAGGTACTCCAGGCTTGCTAAGAATCTCCAAAAATTTCCTTTCCTTAGCCAAATAAGGCTACATCTGGAAAAAATATCAAAATGTGTATTCTATTAATATACACTTGTAGCCAATAGATGCTCATTAAAAGAAAAAGGAGCCAATTGGTCAAGCATGTAATTCTAGCTACTCAGGAGGCTGAGATCTGAGGATAGCAGTTCAAAGCCAGCCTGGGCAAGAAAGTCAGTAAGACTCTTATCTCCAATAAACTACTAAAAATGTCTGAAGTGGAGCTATGGCTCAATAGTAGAGTGCTAGCCTTAAGCAAATGAAGCTCAGGGAAAACACCCAGACCCTGAATTGAAGCCCCAGGACTTTCTCTTTCTCTTTCTTTCTCTCTCTCCCTCTCCCTCTGCCTTCCTCCCTCCCCCCTCTCTCTTTTACACACACACACACACACACACACACACACACACACACATTGGGATTCAAGGCAAAGGAAGAATTAAGGCTTCAAACCTAATTTCTGTATCTATCATGTGCCAAAGCAAAGATCCAAAGTGATTGTACTTGCCCAATCATCCTGAGACTATATTAGGAAGTTTGTTACTGGTCCCCCGAAAAAAATCTTTCCATTTTTATTTATTGTTGTGTTTTCAGAGGCCTTCCTAAAGTCTTTGTACTCCCCTCTGTCTAAAGTGTAAGTAACTTATTAATGTTAAGTTGCTTTACTAAAGCATTTGCATTGCACATTATTAGCACAGTGTAATAAAATACAATAAGCTTGATGCCTTAAATGCTCAGGTTCTGATAGCACCCTTGGGTTTATCTACCACTTGCCTCCTATATGACTGTGGAAAACTTATTTGAATCTTTAATTTCTTTATTAATAATATATCTAATTTGTAGGCTTATCTTAAATAATTCCTAGTTTAAAGCAACTAAATACATAGGCCTATTATTCTTTGCATTTCACAAGAGCACAGAGTTCTGGTAACATCTTGGAAGTATGATGTTTAAGTCCTTTGTCCAAATCTTGAATCTGTGACCAGTTTTAAACAGTGCTGAATGGTAAAACTGTCCCATTTTGTTGGAGAAAATATATAATTTTTCTCTACTATATATGCCTTCCAAAGTGTCTGAATCACAGTAAAAATAAAAATAACCACTTTAATAATATTTAGTAATGATAGCATTTACTGAGAAGTTATTAATTTCCAAACAAGTTCATCTAGGCTTTAACTCATTTCATCCTCACAGCAACTCTGTAAGTTAGGTATGATTATTATATCCAACTTAAAATAATGAAAGAAGATACAGAGA